AATAAATGCACTGCATGGAAAAGGTTCACAATTCCTATTTTTATTGTAAAAAAAGCCATTGCTCTTCAAAGAATTTTTACTCAAAATATTTGCATTGTTTTTTAACCTGAAAATAATTAAGCAGTGATCTAAGCTGAGAGAAACCGGTCTTGAATATATCTATATTTACATAAAATCTAGCAAGCAACTATATAACATTACAAAAATAAGTTAGCACACCTATTAATGAATTTACACATTAGGGATTTGTGATTATTACACTGATGCAGGGCTTATTTTTCAGGGCACCTGTCTGGTCAGGCCTACTGCTAACAAGTTTTACCTGTCCCCAGATGATTTCCATTTGCACAGCCTTCCCCCCCCCCCCAAAAAAAAAAAAAAGTGCATTTTTTTTCAATATCCAAGCTAGTTCGTTTAGATGAATATAATGGACAGTTTTGCATCCTGACTGTGCCATTGCGGATTTTCTGCATTGAAAACGATGCTTCCCTCATTTTGACATGCAGCGCCACTAAAGGTGCAATATTACAAAAAATATCCGTTAAAATTTAGTCAAGAGCGCCCAATAGAAAAGCAAATGGATATTTATCCTTTTCACTTATTGATTAGTCATCATGTAGTTTGACAGAAGCCATATTTGTTTACCCAGCACATGTTGTTAGGTGTTCTCAGAGGTCTGTGCACTGCCGGTCATAACCAATTCGAGCGGTCTGTTTTTCATTGACCCGTAGTTGTTTCAGTTTCGATATATTTTTGTGAAACAGGTCACATGTCAGCCCTCACAGCATCGCTACACGCACTTCGAGTGACATCAGATGTACGTAATCTTTATTATGAAATAAGTGTCTTCTATTTGTATGCGCCAGTATGGCGCAGGTTAAAATTTTACTTGCGTCTTTGAGAAAGGGTCCGCGCATTTGGCGCAATTGCGCGGCCCAGGATTATCCCTGATATCTGTCCTTTGTTTACAGTATGAAACTCCAAACTTAATATTTTTGAAAAGCAATGCGTGTTGGTGTTTCACTAGATAACCAACATCAAGTGTATGTGAGTTATTAGTTCTAGAGTCACACTTGATACCAAGCTATTTATTGATATTTTATTAGTCTCACTGCAGCTTAGCCATTGTTCACATGAAAAATCCAAAATCCAAAAATCCATTGGCAGTATCTAGTGATGACAGTCTGTGCCCTGAATATCCAGTGGCGTAATTTACTCGCAGCATGAGCGAGTCATTTCCAAAGCTGTTATTAATTCTCAGCTGCGCTTAAAGAAGATTCTGACACCTGGACGCATGTGCAGTAATAAATTAGAGAGAAAAAAAATGGCGGCAGCGGTTGCTTTGAAAAATGTGTTTGTCGAATTTGTGCAACAGCAAGAGGAAGAAGATGAGGTCCATGTACACACGACAGATATGAGTGCAACCGTCATGATTCTGACACCTGGACGCATGGGCAGTAATAAATTAGAGAGAAAGAAAATGGTGGCACTGCTTGGCATCAGACTTGTACTTGGAAAGAAGTTGTTATATCTGGTTCTTTTGTGGAGTTGGTTATGGTCCAGTAATGGTAGAGTTGCAACATTTCTGTTGAACCAAAACTTATGGGCTCTTCAATGAATCTGTCCTCTGGTTTTTTAAAATTAATATGTTGTAAGGCTTTCTCATGTTCTGTCGGGAATGTGGAAAAAATTGTGAATTTTATAGATACTGAATTTTTATTGTAATAAATTCTTAAAACATTCTGATTGAGTGTTTATAACAAAACTGAAAAGCAGGCTACTGTATAGTTTTATTCTCAATTAAATGTTTTATAGAGATATAATTTTTATGACCCCAAATAATGTTGCTGACGGACTGGTACTTTCTCCCAACTGAAAATATGGAATCGTTGCACTATCAGAATAGAAGAGAACCTGACTTACCCAGGTTTCTCATCTACCTTTATTTGGGTTCTTAATAATTTGTAAATCCATTGGATGATTTCATTATCAAAGTTCACTCGAGTTGGTGAAAGGTGGGGAAAAATTGACATATTAAGTTCAGTCAGCCATTTTTCTTTGCTGATAAGACTATAAGTAAATACTTTTTATTCTTTCTGTGCCCTGAAGATGTGTGAAATAACTGAAAGTGTTATGCTAAATAAGTCATTTCGGGCACTGATCAACAGAAATTCTTTTCAGGCACTTGTCTGTTTAACTTGCCTTCAAACAATATTTGGGATGTATTAATGGAATACTGCCAGTTCGGATAATAAACAGCTGATATATATTGTTTTTTGGTAGGAGTTAAGTCATACAAATTTTTCTGTAAAGTAACTGGGCAACGGCTTTACCGGTATCACCGACAAATGCTACAGGACCAGACATTTTCTTTTTTGGACACAAGTAGTTAACAGGATCACATGTTGTATCAGTCATAGGATATACAATGTGGAATGCATCAAAAACTTCCACACCAAGTTTCTTCATTTCTGTTCCCAGTATTTCATTGGTTGCTGATTTCATGAAATAATTGCTATCTTTTCTCCAACTTCCACCTGCCTGTATGTTAAGATAGATCAAGCGAAGTTTAGCCTGCTTGGGATTACTTCTTATGGCTCTGATGGCATCAAAGATAATTCTGCTTTGATTTAAAATTAGCTGTCTTGCATTTCTTTCAGTCAGGTCCCATTGACCGAAACCTAGAACTATGACATCAGATGTGGACCATGTAGATCGTGACTTCAAGTGCTTTTGGAGATTTGCAGCAGCAACAAGTGGATTATTCCCCCACATTGCTGCAATGTTTTCATTGTAGAAAAATAGTGTATCTGTAGTGCCATAGAAGAGATGTGGATTTTTCATCTTGAGTAAATACATTAAATAATAACTTATCGCTCTTATGTGGGTGTCCCCAATGAAAGAAATGCTGGATTTATTTTTTTGACAACGTAGCAGTTGAGTTGGAGTCAAAAAAGGCAGTAAAAGGCCTGTTTGGGACCCCCATTGCCAGGTACCATTAACTTTCCACCAGCGTCCATGCAGGTACTCTGTTATATCCCCACTATATGTGTCAGCTTTAATGTTCAGTCTCTCCTTGGATCTTGGGCATACATTGTTATACATACTTATTTTTTTCTTTAATCTTCCTGGCCATGGTATATTATATTTGTTATGGTGCCTATACCCCTCAAAGTTGACAAACTCCAAGAAGACAGTGATGTTGACACATGAGTGTATCCTTGGACAGTGAGCAGTGTAGGTACCATTGAAGTAGTCTTGGACAGGACACCACATCCTCTCTCCACCCATTATTGTGATTCTGAATCCACTTCCCCCAGTGGACAGTGTTTCTTGGCCATTGTGAACAAATTCAGTGATGTTCAAGATGACAGAATCTGGATTGGGTAGTTTTTGGATTAACTGCACTTGATGATGGTACTGCTTGGCATCAGACTTGTACTTGGAATAATCCAAAGGAGAAGTTGTTATATCTGGTTCTTTTGTGGAGTTTGTTATGGTCCAGTAATGGTAAAGTTGCAACATTTCTGTTGGACCAAAATGTATGTGCTCTTCAATTAATCTGTCCTCTGGTTCTTTAGAACTCATAGGCAGTTGTGTGGGCTCTTCAATTAATCTGTCCTCTGGTTCTTTAGAATTCATAGGCAGTTGTGTGGGCTGTTCAGTGAATCTGTCCTCTGGTTCTTTAGAATTCATAGGCAGTTGTGTGGGCTCTTCAGTGACTTTGTCCTCTGGTTCTTTAGAATTCATAGGCAGTTGTGTGGGGTCTTCAGTGAAACTGTCCTCTGGTTCTTTAAAATTAATAGGCAGTTGTGTGGGGTCTTCAGTGAAACTGTCCTCTGGCTTTTTAAAATCAATAGGCAGTTGTGTGGGCTCTTCAGTGAAACTGTCCTCTGGCTTTTTAAAATCAATAGGTGGTAAGGCTTTCTTTTGTTCTGTCAGGAACATCATCCATAATACAACTGCAACAATCATTAAAAGTTTGCAGTAAAAAATATATTGAAGTAACCTATGAGTACGCTGCTTTGCAATACGCATCTGGATATTCGTCTTCATTTTGCCATCAGATCCTTCACTATTGAAACCACTCTAAAATGTATTTGACTATGAATATTGTTTATTGCACAATATTCTTCTCATACTGTGTTACCAGTATCATATTATTTATTCAAGCTTCTGCTTCAAGGTTAGGATATCTGTCTTTTAGATCTTTATTGATATTTAATGCACTTACATATAGGTTTGTTAATTAGGCTATGATACTTAGATCTTGATGACTTCCTTGATTTGACAAAAAATGACAAAAGTAAAGTTTTGGACATACAATGTCAACAATCTTTTTTAGGAAAAGAATGAGGTTGAGATAGGATTTAAAAGGCAGTTTTTTACTGTACAAAAAAGGAGAGACTTTGAGTTTTAAGCAGCGTCCAATTGTATCTGATTGACAGGCAGTCCTTTTAAAAGGGAAAAATGAAATGTTTGACCAAGTTGATATTTCTTTCTTATATACAACTGATGTATTTTGATCGAATAACTTGTAGAATTGCCAAATTTTGGAAAATGTTTGAATGTGTGCAATGGCTCCTTGCCTCTTTTGCGCTGTTCCGCAGTGCTCACTCTTGCATATCTGTCCTTTGCTTACAGGATAAAACTCCAAACTTATGTTTTCAAAGTAATGCGTGTTGATGTTTCACTCGATAACCAACATCCAGTGTGTGTGAGTTAGTTCTAGAGTCACTCTTAATAACTAGCTATTTACTGATAGTTTACTAGCCTCACTGCAGCATATTTTTCATTTGTGGTCCATGTGCTCAAAATGATCTTTGGCATGTTTTGGCAAAAACAAGGCAGACTTGGTGCAAAAACTCGATCTAGAAATCCTTTTGATTTTAAGTCTGTAATCCCAAATTGGATTTTTAAATAATGTGGTGTAAGCTTGATATGCTACAGTGAGACTAGGTTTGACGTGTTGCTTGCTAACTTTCACTTCTAACCACTAGGTGGCGCTGATTGGTGGCGTGCGGCATCTGAGCATGCTCGGAGGCTAGCCACGACCGCAGAACTGGAATATTACAGCGGGGCTCTCAGCAGCCCTCTGTCGCCCCACTTTGGAACTCTTTCAACCAGCAGTACAGCCGAGTCAAGTATGTGTCAAGTCATCTGATTGGTCAGTTAGTTATCAGATGGGTATAACAAATATCCTTATAGGTTGATGCAAATTTTTATTTCTGTCCTTTGTTAGGATATCATCAACAAAGTCAGTGGGTCATTTCAGTGGCACAGTAAGGGATTTTTAAGTATAAAGTTTCTTTTCGAAGTTATTTAAAAGCACAAAGAATGGCCAGTAGCTGATCCTTTTGCTAATCTGAAACATTTTGTATCTTGACTTCTTCCCAACACTGATGAAAAATTTTAATAAATAAATGAATTAATAAGTAAATTGATAACTGAAAATGGAAATAAAATACAAAAAGAATTAAGCAATCTTGAAAAGTCAGCAAACATTAATAGTAAGCCTACCTTTGAAATTGTCAAAAAAGAAGATAAAGGACCAGTTAAACATTTGTTCCAGGAAGAAATATATTTAATCAGTAAATGGAATTTATTCTTCAATCTTAGCAAAACAAATTTTAATGATTGGCCTACGTAAATTCAGACTGGGCTTTGCTTTTACCATTTTAATTTAAGCTCTGGCTTCAACGAAGGCTTTGTTTGAGCACTTCTTCTGCAGTGTTGCCCAGGTTACCCTCATCAAACGGCAAAGTTGCTGCTGATAGTTAGTCCAGGTTGACTTACTTAGTCCAGATTCTTTGTCACATAATTATTATTCCCATATTCACATCAGTAATTTGCAGTTGATTATTGGACAGAAAGCTAAACTGGCTTATTGCTTTTTGCACAACTAATACACTGACAAAAAAATGTGTGCTGACGTGCGATGATTAGCATTTTAACTATATTTAGCATGCTTTTAACATTTTATACAAGTATGTAATATCTTGATAGATCTGACAAGAAGAAAAGTGTTGAACTTACCATTTTGGTTGCTTCCTGATGCATATTGTTTACTATCTTCTTTCAGCAATGAATGGCATCTTTTCTGCTCCGCTGTTTCAACCCTACGTAACCACCACATCATCGACAACATCAGTGATGACTTCGCCGTCATCCACCTCATCTCCTGTCATGTCACCTGCCAAGTCGTCATTGTCATCATCGTCGTCATCATCGTCTTCATCATCATCAGCATCCAAGTCAATGGTAACCACAGCAACAACACAAACCCCCACCACCTCCGTACTGACGACCTCTTCCTCCAGTACCAGCAGCGCAATCAGCACCTCCAGTTTTGGGAAAGGGCGTAAGAAGTCCACCAGCGGTCTGCCAATGACCTCACAAACACCTGTTATCATGACGATACCCAAACCTAAGCCTGCTCTTACCCCACCTAAACTCAATGCCGAGGAAGTCACCAAGAAAATGGTAAGGATGATATTTTTAATCAAATCATAAGTGTTCAACATGGTGATATATTATATGGTGATTTTATTGTTCTTTTTGTCAGGGTCAGTTGATTAATTTTTTTTACCTCATTGCTGAAAGATTCTGCTATTTCTCACAAATTTGATTTTATTTTTTACAGAATCTGCCTTCTGCTTATGAGGAGGTTGCTCTAAATCTGTCCAAATCGGACAACAAGAGACGTCTTAGCTCCAGCACAGATAACCTGAAGTCTCCTTCCAAAGTAGGTTTTCAGCTGCTAAAATACAGATGAAAGGTCCCCTGTATTTATTCAGAAATCTGGATTTTTAGGTGTTGTATTTTTGCTCCCTGACACCTATTCAGTATATAGAGCTGCATGCATGTTTTTGATACTTGTATTTTGTCATGTTTTCAGTCCCATTTTCATTTCAAATTAAGTGAAAAGTGGTCAGACTTGACATGTTTAGATGTTTTACTTTTAGTCACACAAAAATGCTTATTTATTTGGCTGTAGATATGAAATAAATATTCAGTTGTTTAACATCAAATGATTTTGTCAAAAATATTAAGTCGAAATTTGTTGGTAGTTCAACAATGAGCTCATATATATATACATTTTTGACAATCACGATGGATGAATGACAGTACAATCTTATTTTTTGTAGAAGTAACACAGTTGAAAAATGGGTAAACGTGAATGATATTGGTTATAAATTGGGTGATGTTGTGAATGTAACAACAAACCATTGTATAGTTTATATGGTATCCCCTTGTCATAACACGCTGACTTGGTATGGGCAGATGTTATTTATAATCACTTCCCGGTTTAACTTTCAGAAGAGACACGACTCCGAGGAAGACACCTCTCACAAAAAACTGATCGCCGAGAAGTTGCAGCAGAAGATGAGAAAGCAGGCGTTGGCCCTGGGGAACATCGCTAAATCCCCGTCCACTCCGCACACCAAACCCTCCTGTGGCAGGAGGAAACAGTCCAGCACCTCTCCCATCACCACCACTTCTGCCACCGCCACCGCGGACTCTCCCGGTGCCAGACACACCATTACTACTAACCTCCTGGGAGGTGGGAAGTTCCCCACTTCTCCACTGTTCTCTAACCCAAGTCCATTTCTGGTGGGGGACAAGTCCCCTACATCCCCAGGGTTAAGCCCCCCGGGGTTAGGGATGTGGGGCAGAAGATTGTCGAGCAGCAGTGGTGGCAGCACCAACACAGAACAAGCTACCTTTGCTGCCACGGCCGCGGAAAAAGAAGAGCTCTCCTTTGCTAAGCTAGCAGCCAGCAGTGAGAAATCGTCCATCACCATGACAACGACTACAACTGATGCCACCGCATCCATGGCAACCAGTGCCACGCCAACCTCAACCTCAAAACCAAAGCAGCTACAAGGCGGGATGACTGCGGAAAAGATGGGACGTCTTTTCCCGGGCCTCATGGGACTCAAACAACCTGCTCTGCCTAGTGACACACCCTTAGTGATATCTACAGGTCCAGCTTCACCTACGGCAACATCAGCCATTGCTGGGACAAAGACCAGTTCAACACTCGCCTCTCCACGGAGTCCAATAAGCCCTGGCTTAAGTATGGGGAAGGTGATTGGTGGGCCAACAACAGACAAACCAAGGGGAAGGGGCAGAAAATCATCCTCAGATGATCCCAGGGTTGGAGCACCTAAGGGAAGAGGCAGGGGGAAATACACCAAAAGCCAGAAGGGGGCACCAGTGGAGGACGATGATGCAGTGGTAAGGTTTACTCACATTTGTTATTTTGCTATGCAAGTTGGGAGTAAATAGAAATATTCAAAAAGTTGAGCAATGGAATGAATTTAAGAAAATTAAAATATAATTTTTGAATGATTTGATATCTCTTTGTAATGCCATATAATGTAAGACTGGTAAGATATTGCATTTAAATTCTCGTTACTTTGTGTGTTGTACATCATGGAATTAGTGAAATTTTTTCCCTCCTTGAAACAGGAGCAAAAAAGGAAGCAAGAACTTCTCAAGGCCAAGTTAGAGGCTGAGCTGAAGCAGCAGCAGTTACAGCTACGCCTACAGAGGAAGGCACAGGCTATGAAGGAGAAGGAAATAGCCATGAAAAGTCCGGTATGGTGCAAGAGAAATGAAAAATTAAATTTATTGAAAAATAAATAATTGTTCTTGTTTCAAAAGCCATGGGAAAATGCCTTTACCACATTTCATTTAAAGATTGAGGAAGTCATGCAATTCTTAGTAATTTTATATTATTGCTTTTGAATTATTTTATTATACATGTTTTGAATTTTGTAACTAAGCAAAGATAATTTATCTTTTAAATATTTTGTTTCTTATTATTTGTATTAAATAATTAAATTTTCCTTTTTTGAAATTGCAGGGCCAGCAAGCCCGCTCCCAAGACAAACTACAACAACAGAGACAAAAGTTATTACAAGAGCAACAAAGATTACAGCAGCAGCTGGATGAACAACAGCAGCATTTACAACAACAACGAGAACAATCCCAGCAGCAGCAACAGACTGAGCAGAAAGTACAGAAGAAAAAAAGACAAAGGAAAACGAAAGAGCAGAAGGCCGCTGCAGCTTCTACAATATCTAAACCCCAGGAGTCAAAATTAGCTCAGGTTAGGGTTCTTTACGAGGCATATTTGACATATTTGACTTTATATTGAAGACTTTATATTGTAGACTGAATTTCAAACAAGCCCCTAGTGTATGTATTGCACCAGTTTGAGAGATTGACAGCTTTATAGCCGGGTTATTTTTATCACCTTAATAGAGCCTTTCCCAGTCAAAATAGTGTAAAACATGAAGAGAAGGGGTTATGGTATGAAAAGGACGTAGATTTTTTCGACTTCAATATTTCAGGACACAAGGACTAGTTACGTGCTAATTCTGATAATTTAAATACCTTAACCAGGAAGGTGATCTTTCTTGTACATAATTGCTTTAAGCTGTCAGTTGAGCTTTGTCATGAGAAAGAGCCTCTGATAATGTGAAAGACATTTTGTCTTTAAAGGTGTCCCTGTTAATTAATTAATTGATTAATTTCTACTACAGGTGCTACTTAGTTCTGCTCTTATCAATGCTCCCGCAGGACAAGAGAATGGTGAAAAGCTAGTCGCCAAGTTTAAGACTATAAGCAAGAAGAAAACAAAGTCTGAAACCCAGCAAAGTTCAGAGGAAAGCAGCGCCAAAGGGGAGTCTGACTCAGGTATATAGGATTCTGCTTTTATTTTGAAGAATCTTGCAAGAAAAAATATACTACAGCTCAGAATTTATTTTCTCCTGCTACTTGACAAATCAGCATTAGTGAATGATAAAAAAAAAAAAAAAAACCTCCATCTTGGTAAAGTTAAAACCCAAAAAGGGACAGTCAGTTATTCTCTTCAGCTTAGAGCGTCAGATTTGGAAATGTGGACTGATTTTTTCTTTGAATTGAGGACAAATCATATTTTGTATGTGATTTTCTGCCTATAAAGGGCCCCCTGACGCACAGTTTCAGAGCCCTCTCTTCCTTCATTTTTCAAACCACCCAAAGTCTTGTGTGTTAAGCCTTATTATGCTATGCTGTTGGTCCTATATGACAGGGTCAGGTGACAGCTCCTCCAGCAGTGACACTGACAACAAGTCGGGAGGAGACAGCTCGGCTCAGGACAGCGATGACTTGCCTCTCAAGGGATTGAAACGCCAAGCTGAGGAGGGTGAGACTGGTGAGTTAGCATGATGGGAATGTTTGGAGCATGATGGGAATGGTTTTAGGTGCTTGAACCTGAATATATTAGATGTACATAAGAAACAAGAATATAGCTGTGTACATTCCCGGTAGGCCTAACACTTATGAATTACTGACACTGTTTTCAAATTACTGCTAGTGAAATAAAATCCACACGACAAGAAATAAGCCAAATTAATTAGTTGGTCAGAAAAAGAAAAATAATTAAAAAAGCTTTCAAACTGTATCCTCACATTTCTGGTTGTAAATTACACCTAATTTCCTTCTTCCCTTTGTGATGACATCAAAAATGAAACAAAAGGAAATAATGAAATGATACTCCCAGTTATGCGCTCAATTTGTTTGCTATTTCAGCCACCCCCCGGAAGAGACACAAAGTAACAGATGAGAGAGCACTGTTTATACCCATGGAAGAAGGGTAAGTTATTTAAATAAGGGAATTAAATAAAGTAATATTTTATTAAAATTAAACTCTAATCTCAGGTGCATGGGAGTAGATAAAGAGATTTAGAGTACATTATGAATTCTCAAGACACTAGTGTAGTAACTGAAAGATCTTCTTTAATTTACCTTGCACCACTGCCAAACACCTTCAAAATCTTACTCTCTTGGTGAAGCTAAATTCTCCAGCACCTTGCTAAACTGGTTGTGATATTTTATTTCAGTTGGAAACGACACACCCATGTGCGTACTCTGGGTCCCCGGGGTATCCTGGGAGAGGTGATATACCTGGCACCCTGCGGGAAGAGGCTCAAGACTTATCCAGACATCACCAGGGTGCGTTACCATGGAGATATACTCTGAGGCTGTGCTCATTCTTTTTTCACTTAGTCTTAATAGGAAAATGTTTTTTTGGAAAGCTGAACTTGTTCCTTAAGAGAATGTCTCTTTTAAAGCTGAAATTTTTATGAAAAGAAAGTCAGATTAAATTTGTTATAGCTTATGTAATGTTGTTCTGAAAGGAAATGTATGGATTTTTAAAAGCTAAAATTGTTTTGAATTTTTTTAATTTATGATATTTCTCAGTTTGCATCTCTGTAATATATCACTTGCATGGATGTTGTAAAAACTCGCAGAAGACATTTTTCTGATATTCTGAATTATTAAGATTTCATATCCCAAAAACTGACAATTAAACTCGTCATTTAATCCTTAATATTTCAGTACCTTGCCAGGAACAACATAACACACCTGACCAAGGACCACTTTACCTTCAGTACTAAGTTTAACATTGGAGTCTTCTACAGACAGAATCTAACAGGAAAACCTATGGTAAGACTGGGGTTCACCAACTTTTATTTCTTGTTACAGTTACCTTAAATTCTAAAAATGGAAAGATGATAACTTATGAGTACCCATTAAAAAATTTGTTTATTCCTAATTCATCTTAAAAATGTTACTGTGAAATTGATCCCAAGCCCCTGTTAAATGTTCTTATGAACAGAAAAATAAATAATAAAACTAAAGTATTAAATAGAAAATGAATTTATAGATAACAGAATAAATATATACGTCAATCAATAAAAAAATGAATAATTCAATGAAAAGGATATTTCATGTTCGCTAAATAATAATTAATTCTAGGAGTCGCAGGAAATGCCTGAGGAAGAGGTGCACAGCCTTTACACCACCATTGAGTCTCGTCGTGCCAAGAGAATGTCAGGTCCACAGCGAAGACTCCAGATGAAGAAGATCAAACAGCTGACCAAGAAAGCCATGGAGATGAAACAGAAAAGACAGGCGGAACAGCAGGGTAAGGAGGCCCAGGGTCTGTGACTTTATTTTTAACTGAAGAAAATGAGGGCTAAAATATTTATCAACATTTGTTTATTGAAATTAAGTTGATGTACATATGGTTAAAATATTATGTGAATTTAAATTCCCATCTTAAGAAATGTAGACCTAGCAATTATTGATCAATCCTCCCTTTATTTCTTGTGGAATTATGTTTCATTAATTGCTGTGAATGAAAATGAATGTGAATATTTGTAAAAGATATATACACTGGGTTTATGCTCAAGTTGGTGTCAAAAATTTAAAACTTTTCAGAAGCAACCACCTGTGTTACCTGTGTGATAATTGGTTCCACTGTAGTCTTTCGTCACAGCATGTAATGTATATATTTATTGAGATGATTCATTTTCACTGTCAGAAATGGCACAGAGACTAGAAGACATTACCAAGAAGAGGAAGGCAGAGAAACAAACTCTGAAAGAAGCTGCATCCAAGGCCAAACAATTCAGAGGTACGATGACCATCTAAGATGTTGGCCATTTTAATGATCATTTCCATGGACTGAGAATTACATTGATGCATATAAGAAGGTTTATTCCTAACCATAGTCTTTTTAACCACTATTTCTCTGAAGGTCCGATTAATATAGAAAAATTAAATGTTTTGTTACTGTGTATTATGCTTTTTATTTATTCTTAGTGCAGTGAAGTATGTGGCATATTGGGGGTTGCTTAGAACAACACAAATAAAGCACTATAATAAATTGTATATTTATTTATATATGAATAAATAAAATTTGTCCACTTCAGATGAGGAAAGAAGAAAACAGAAGGAACAGATGAAGTTGTTGAAACAGCAGGAAAAATTGCAGAGGCAAGAGCAGCTGAGGATGGAGAGAGAGATGAGAGCTCAGCATGTGGTGGAGGTAAGAGAACATTATGGGATATAATTTCATTATGGGATGAAATTTCATTTAATTTATGGGATGTCTGTAGTGACATCAAATGTTGTTTCAAAATCTGAAATTATTGAGCAGATAAAGAATTTTGATAAATTAATTTTTGCAAGCTCTGTTTGCTTATATTTTTGAAAACTGCATCTGTCTTTTGATATCCTCTAATCTGGTATAAAGATTTCCTTTCATAGCAGATTTTTCTTTTTCTTGTTGCCTTGATGATTAAGCCAGCATGTGGTTTACATGTGCCAAGATATCTTATTTCTGCCATATAGTTTTAACTCTGAAAACATGTGGGACTTAGAAACCACATTATCTTCTTATCCATATATTAGAGATAATACACATTGATATCATGCTGTTTGATATTACTCGCAACATATTGTACTGCTTTGATATTGCTTTCTCTCATGTTTGTCAACAAAGTATTTGTGCTTGTATGGTAGATATTTGCATGGCAATTTCTTTAAATTTGTATCTTTGTCTGGTAAACTACAGGATTGGGAGTGTTTGATGGTGCAACAGAATTGCCTCCTTTTGATTTGGTAAAAAAATAAATGAATAGAATTAATGAAATAAAAAAGGAGGAATTCATCTGGGTTTTCTGGAAGTATTGTCTTCTTTTCTAACCATCTTCTCCCTGTATTTTACCAATAAAATCATACAAATTTGTAACCTATAATACCAGTTAATTATTATAAATGAAAATTATTTGTTATTTGTTGCTGACATAGAGAAATGTGAAATATTCTACTTTACATAAAGAAAAAGAAAAACCATAACAGTATTCTTTCTGTTTTCATGTTAAAGCACCTCAGCTTGTTGCATATCAAATGTTTTTTGCTATGGTTCATCCTAGCTTTTAAGACAAATCAGATTTTTGGAAAAAATAATGTAATAGGCAAAGAGGCATAATATTATCTAAACAATTAATGGTTCACATTATTGCCAAAAAAAAAAAAATAATAATAATAAAATAAAAAAATGGATAAGATGAAATTATGCTGGTATTTTTTTATCTATATAAATTGCACCATTCGTGTTCAGTGCTATGAAAGAATCATGGCAGAAAACTTGACGTGCAAGGATTGTTTCCCCCTCCATATACACACACACACACACACACACAAGTGGCTGTTCCACTCGTTCGTATAATGCATGTTTGCTTTGCATGCTATCCAGGCACGGAAGCGTAGGAAAGAGGAGCTCCAGTCCCAAAGGTTTGCGGAGACGCTGCGAAAAGCCAAGGTATGCATGTCTTTGGGCTCGTGTCGTGTCGTACTCGTACGTGTGTATATCGCAGTGTTACTATAATTAGGCATACATCAGTGTTTGGCAGTATATAATGATGTGTGTTACAAAACAAAGTGGTCCTTACTGAGGAGAGAATACATAACTGCAATGTGGAAATGATGTGAAAAAGAGGACCGTATAGATGTAGATTTATACATTCCATCCTCCTTATGAGTGTTACACTTGGGATTGAGCATGTGATGTAACATGTAGCTTGTGATCCCTCAGACCATTCCCTCCCCTCTCCCCCGGCATGTACCCTTGTATGATAATTACTGACTAAATGCAAACAGAATGGAATAAATAATATTCTCCAAAACAACCCTTTGTGAATAAAGCAAATGTTGATTCAAAAGTTCTGAAAAGTGAGTAGCTTCATGGCAAAGAGTGCATTTGGGCCAGATCTCTGAAAACGATAATTATTTTTATCAAGACTAGTTTGAGTGAGGAGTTTGCCATTGTCCAGACCCTTTGTGAATAAAGCAAATGTTGATTCAAAAGTTCTGAAAAGTGAGTAGCTTAATGGCAAAAAGCGCATTTAGGCCAGATCTCTGAAAACAATAATTATTTTTATCAAGACTAGTTTGAGTGAGGAGTTTGCCATTGTCCAGTAATTACCCATACACGTGTCTATGTACTGAAGGTCTTCATAGCTGATAACAATTCTCTTGTAGGAGCGAGAACTGAAAAGACAGCAGGCTGTTCTTCTTAAAGAACAGGTGGGTCAAGGTGGTTTTTATCTTTGACAAAAATGTAAAACCATTTGTTTTGTCCACCTGCACCCCCTCTACCCCAATCCAACCCACCCTTCTGAAAATTCTTATAATTATTGTGTCATATTAACTGAAGGTTGGTCTTGAAATATATTTGCACTTTATTTGGCATCTTATCCTTTATGCAGTAATACAGAAGACATGTGGGCAATGACATACCCAATTATGCAAGTTTGTGGCCTCAGAGCCATTTTTCGCGACTACAAGAAGTGAATGATTTGCCAATAGTATGTTTGATAGAAAAGTTGGTCCAAGAAGTGGGGGTAGTTAAAATGAATGGTTTTACAGTCTGAAAGCTCTCTTTGAAGACAGATCCAAAAACAATATTTTTTACATAATAAAAACACTGTTCTTTTCTGGTTGTTTCACACAAAATTAAGAAATTATACCCTTTGGATCTGTCTTTTCTCTAATCCATTCTTACAGTCCAAAGTTTCAGAGCAATATTCCTTTAATATTCAACAAGAGGATGGCATAATTTCATGTGGAGTGAGTAAACAGTTCACATTTGATTCCAGAATAAACTGCAATAACAGTGATGGCACCTATAATTATTGTATTCTTTTGGAGATTTTGCTCTGAAACTTATCAACTGTGACCAGTGCGTAATGTAGTTGTTGTGTCAGCTCTCCAGTGTGCAGGTTGTCCATTGTGTTTCTTTTTAGTCATTTAAACTGATGTCATTTATAGATGGTTGCTTATCACTATGTAGGTGATTTTACACAAGAAAAATAAATGAAGGGGTTTTTGAAAGGTAACAAATTTAAAGACCTCACATCAGTTTGAAAGTGACAAAATCATTATAGAACAACCTGCCTAAATTGCAGTGTAAATCTACCATATGAATTAGGTTTTTAGGCATGCTTTTCACTTTGTGTGCTCGTGGAGTTTCACCACCATATGTCGTTGCTGTGTGTTGCTGTTTGTGTTTTTTTTTTTTTTCAAATTTTATATGGGTAAAGTTGGGGGAAGGGGGGAGGGGAGACATGAAACCAAATAATATTGTGCTTTGTGATCTATATATTAATCTATCTTGAAATGAAATTCCATTGTCTATATTTATTTATTTATTTATTTATTTATTTATTTATTTATTTATTTATTCCTTAATTTTGTATGCCTATAAATATGCGATTGTCTTTGTTTGGTTCAAATCTTCAATTAAATTTAAAAAAAAATGAATCTTTGAATCATGGGCGTTTGGTCTCCCCTAAATTGCTAAACTGTTTCTTTGAGTTCCCTTCCACAAATAAATTTCTACCAATTCTACATAGCACAAGTTTATATCTCCTGGTATATTTGATTTTGAAACATTTATTTATTAACTGTTAAATGTGATCTTGCATGCAATGGATGTTAGCATGAAGCTTTCACAAGTCAGGAGTACATAGCTTTCACTTGTTTCTGAAACCTACCCTTTGTTAGCTTGTCAACTGTTTGTTCGACCAAGCTTCAATGGAGTGAGTCAAAAAAAAAAAATATTCTGCACCAGAAAGCATGCTAATTATTATGTCCTAATAATGAGAAAAAAAATCCTGAAATATCTCGCTGCTTATTAATGCCATTTATGAATATCATAGGATCACATTCCTTCTTCCACATGCAAAAGATTTTGGATGCACTAAAAGAGGGTGAAATATATGGATAAAAATTTGTTAAATTCTCGGGCTTCTTATAAAGTGTGACTTTCGGTTACAGAAGAGAAGTTTTATTTTTCTCTTACGTAAATTAGGAAGTTGGTGGATTTTTAAGAAGTTGAGTCTGAATCATGTTGAATGTACCTCCTAATTCCTACTACGATGTCCTCACTAGTCTGTCTCAATATTTGTTGCCTGTCTGTTCCAAAGAGAAGTCTTGATTTCAGGATTTACCTATTTTGTCAACAAATATTTCATTTTCTCTGTCAGTTGTTTGTGCATTTTTGAATGTTCTGTGTTGTGGTGTAGTTCTTTTATTCTTGGCCTGTGATGGGAAGAATTCTTGGCAAGATTCCGTCATAACATTCACTGTTTTTTTCTTCTTCTCTTTTTTTTTTTTCAATGCAACTTCATCATCACCCTTAGGAAAGGGAACGGCAACAACACATGATGTTTGTACTTAATTTGGTAGGTGGTTATCATAGCATGCTAGGATGTAGATCTATCTATCTATTTATTTATCCAACATATATATATATATATAGTTTTGTATGCATTATCTGTTATATTACTCTGGAACATTACTCACACACCCAAATGCAGAGTCTGTCCCTCTAGACTAGGATCCAAAATATTATTTTGGATCCTAGCTCTAGAGAAATGCCCTCTGGGATATTCTCCCTCAAAAAATGGACATATTTTGACATTAGTTCTTCAGATATATGATAATCTTCCAGGCAGTCCACTTATTAAACTGCCCTGCACATCCATACCCCCCTTAGAGACACGTGCCCCCTTGGGTCACTTCTGTCACGGAAATGGTCTTCCCATTGTGATGTGGGGTGTGGGGTCACTGGAGGTGGGGGTGAAGCAGGGCACCAGGGAAGTCAATGAGGCTGGTGTTATGTGGGAAATCTGTAACAAATCCTTCTTCCAAGCTGAATAAATCCTTTTCTTCTAACCAGATGTATGCTGATTAGTTATAGCATACTTAAGACTGATATATACTGGAACTATATTGAATTTACTAAATGTTATATATGCTTGGCCTGTTTTTGATTTCCCACTTTTAGTATTTACAAAGGGATTTTTTTAAAATTCCACTTGTAAAGCAACAGCATTGTCAACCTGTTGATGAACTTATGCATGCATTTTTCCGTGCTGTGAAATCTTTTCTTTCGACTTTCCAATTGTTAGGTTTAGTAAAAAAAAAAGGGGGAGGGTGTGATGGTGATGGCTCTCAATGCTACCATCAGGAACAGGTAATGTTTGAAGTTCCTATATTGAGGTGAATGAACCAAGAAGAAAGTATGCCCCAAAATATTTTTCTTTCAATTTTTCTGATAATTTTTAAGAGAGAAAGAGAGAGAAAGAGAGAGAGAGAGGAAAGAGGAAGTCTAAGAATAGGAAAGGCAGCTGTTTATTTTTGTGGAAATAGAATTGAGAGGATGAGAAGCATGGCGGAGTGTAAAGGACACCACAAAAGAGATATATTGGTGACTGGCATGCGCAACATCTGAATAACAGTTACTGTAAAAATGTAATCATGAAATAAAGGGGGTGAGGAGGAAAAAAAATTGCCCATGATTCGGATGCTACATTGTCTTATTTCTGTTCATCTGTATGGTAGTTCTTGACTTTTTATTGCCACATTTTGGAATTAAAAAATCCCCACTGAGTATCCACTAAAATTGCTAAACATAGCATTAATTGATGTAATCGATGTTTTTTGACCAATCAGAGTTGAGTAAACATACCATCAATCACTCAACTGATCAATCAGATTCAAGAAAACATAATCATATAACCAACCAATCACAGTAAATGGGTATCTAAGTACATTATCATAAAGCATGATAAGTCCCCAGGGCCGGAAGCATTATTAGGAGCTTTTTATGTTTGCATGGCAAGGTGATGGCTGAAAGTTGCACCATTCGTGTGTATTCCATTCTATGTTATTCCTGTTGTTTTAATCATGTTTGTTTCTATTATCACTTACTATTCTGTTTCACTTGGGTATATTGTGTTTACAATTGGAAGACTTATTTTGTCAGACATTCTGCTGGCTGTTTCTGTGTTCTGATGTTTGATTTGTCTGTTTTACCCCCTTTGCTGCTCAGGAAGTAGAGAGGCAGCTGTATGCTAACATGGTACTCACCTTGGTATGTAACTTTACCTCTTAATTTACATGCATTCAGACCAAAAATTGCTCAACTGATGGCATTATATTTATTTTCCCAAGACAGCATTGGGGAGAGGGATTTGGGGGGGGTGTAGGATTGTCAAAATGATATGCATGGTCTCCTGGTGATGTCATTTTGGCTATTTCTGGTTTGAGTTGGCAAGGTTTGTACACACTTTTATATCTCGCTAACACGTCCTGAGTTTGACATTTCTGATGGCAGAACTTTGGTACACATTGTCATTATAAGATTAGACTGCCCCTCATAGCTATAACATGCCAGAGAGCCAAGAGCAGGATTGTGAAACTCAGGGTTCTATTATATCACTGTTGCTTTTATGAATTAGATATTTTCAGCCCTTTTCAAATTGTTTATAATTTTTTTTTGCCAATGACATAAATTTTGAATAAATGCTGTTTTGTATGTCAGTTTGGAAGACGGGAAAGAGAGAGAGAGAGTAGATCTCTTCATACTTTATAAACCAAGTACTGTGTATATTAATCCATCTTAGTCTTCATTTTTCACCTTTGTATTTGAGTAGATTGTTTAAGCTTCTGTCACTGAGGTACCATGTCTCCATCAGGACTTTCAGGAAATTTTATAGAACTCAGTTTTATTGAAATTACAGCCTGAATGTACCAAAAAGAAAAAAAAAACTTCCCTAAACTAACATTACACCTCTCCCTGATTAAAAATTAAAATCACTTGAAGTTAATATACAGAAAGATCTATGTAGCTTTATTATCAAAGTGATTAGTTCATGAAGAAAGAAGAATTTATTTGCCTTCCCCCACCAACATTTTCTTAGGCTTTCCAGAGTTAGTTAGATATTTTTGTATATTTAAAATTATTAAAATTTTAAAAATATTATTGAAATGGAAAATCAGGAAGATAATGTATGTGAAGCCTTTGTGCTGCAGTGTCAAATTAAAAATTTTAAATAATAATTTTTGGTATGTGAAAACTCTTAGAATATTGTTTTCTTAACATCACACATGTGGCTTCATAGATGAGAAAAAGTGCACTTGTGACTTGAAAAGAGCTTGGACATATATGTATGTGCGTATGTGTGAGTGCAAGCACAAATGTGTATAAAAAGCCCAGTGCGAATCCTTAACTCCTTAATGCAGTTTTTCAAGTGAATTGTCATCAGTGCTGCAGTTAATGATTCAGAAGTAAAAGTAACTTGATAATATGTACTGCAATGTTTAATCTTTTAATGTCATGTTATTCACAATGATGTTGTCATTGCAGGAGAGAGAGCGACGACGTCAGCACATGATGTTGGTCAAAGCCTTGGAGAACCGGCGTAAACTGGAGGAGAAGGAGAGACTGAAGGAGGAGAAGAAAGCCGAGAAAAGGCTGACCAAGCAGAGGAAGCTGGTAAGATGGGTGCTTAGTGCTTGGAAATATTATTTCAGACTCCCTTGAGGAAGACATAATTTAATTTCTTAAATTTTTCACCTCTAAAATAACTTGATATGTATTGATTTCTTGAAGAAGTCAAAATTCTTCTCAGCTTTTAGGTCAAGAACAAACCATGCATCAGAGATGAAATATTTGTCTTACTTGTACATTTGAGGTTTTGTATTTGTTAATGGAATATATGCAGAATAATGCAGAATAAAGTAAGTATAAATGTTCTGTTCATCTTCAGGAACAAAAGAGGTTAGAAATCCAAATGGCCAAAGAACTGAAGAAACCAGTTGAAGACATGCAGCTGATGGATGCCAAGGTAAAAAAAAATTTTTTTTTAAATTTAAACAAAAAAAATCTGTGTATTTCATTTGGTAAAGAGGACATTGCTCCTTAATTCCAGTTATTTTATATTCATATGTAACAGGTGCCATGGTAATATTTTAAATCATTATGTAAGTTATCCCCTATAGTGACAAATAGCCCATTTATTGTCTTTAACTTATTATTATATGTTTTTCATTGATTTGAGCAGTCAGTAGTTTTACATGTGTAGCATTTTTTATGTGCTTCATGTAGCATTAGTATATTTTTCCCAAAATTTTATCTGTATAGTAGCTGTCAGTGACACATTTGAACTAAATTAAATGATAATTGTGTTTGAGTTAATTACAACTGTAAAATTTTACCTTATTTAGGTAAAGTGCCTGTTATATTTTATTCCAGCCTCTCCCCACCCTGAACAGAATCCCTGGGGTCAAGTTACCAGGGCCAGCCTTTGCAGACTGCCTCATGGTTGTGGAGTTCCTGCACAATTTTGGCAATGCGCTAGGATTGGGTGCGTACTGAATAACAGTGACATCTATTGTGCTGTTTTTGCAACGTTTGAAGATGTTTTATTTCTTGTTTCTCTCCCTTTCAAGAATAAATATGGTTGAAAGGATAATAGTTAGAGTACACTCTGTTTTCTTCATGAAAGGTCATTTTGCCTTACTTAAAAATGTATTGTATTAAATAGTTAGTAATAAGTTGATATTTAGACAGTTTAAAAATAATAACTTGCAACCTTGTTACCACATTTAAATTAATCAAATTTCATTTTAATGGACTTCAGTGAATTTATCCTCATCTGATAAAATATTTGGCCTTTAAGTTTTGTGTGACTTTCAGTCTATAGTACTTTTGTGTAACTTGACACTGTATATGATGAATTTCAGACAAGGACTCAATCCCCTCCCTGAACACAATCCAAATGGGGATGTTGAATGATGAAGAGGAGCTGGAAGAAGTGCTCTCCCTCATGACTCACCTGCTCAAGTTTGCTCTGGATGACCCTGGGGTACCTAACCCCAAGGAGGTACTAGGATGATGAAAATTAAAGATGTTACAGTGATAACATTCAATTTATGTATGATTATTACTCCATGAGTAGCTCTTGTGCTGTGTCACTGCATGAGTAGTTCTCATGCTCTCGCTCTAGTTTCGTGAGCCACATTCGAGCGTGACAGTAGTCAGTGCATGAATAGCCAGTGAAGGGTATGGTCAGTACAAATAGAGATGTCTCTTTATCACAGAGATTAGTATGATTTGACTTATGTGAAAATAAGAACTAAATGTATATCTTAACTAGAGATGTGCTGGTCTTTATTAAGCTTTCAGACCCTAAACATAATTGATCAGATGAATGAAGGATAGTCATAATACTATAAATATATCAAATGATTTGTTCCAGGCAACCACCTTGCTGAATGAAAAGATAACAGATGTTGATTTGAATGAGAACAACATTTCTGAAGTTCTGAGAATCTTCTTGGTGGCCAGGAATGGGAGTCAGGACGAGGTATGACCTGGACTTGACAGTAATTCTTTATCAAAAATTATGACTAGATTTAAAAATAGTTTTTTTTTAAATCATGTCCAGTATCATGTTTGAAAAAGACAACATTACGTTCACACATTGTTAATAGTCACCCTGAGCTTCAGAGATAACTTGACACTAACCTCTTCACTATAGCCTATCTTCATCGTGTCAAGTTACCTCTGACGAAAATAGTTTGACCTAGTTTATATAAGCCAATCGAATCCATGTTTCAAAAATTTTCACCAAAGTTTGGTGAAAACGCTGATTGGTTGACCGACAATCGGCAATCCTCGGCTGATTCCGCAAGCTTCATACTAACAACTTAGTTATTGTCGAGTGCGGAGACATCCGAGTAGTTCCGAGTGCATAACCGTACACAAAGAAAGCATGGAGTATATCGGAATTGAAACCAGAGCAGTTTGATGCCCTGCATCATAATCTACTGAGGGATGATGTATTTTGCGTGCTGCCCACAGGTTACGGCAAGTCCCTGATATTCAGCCTTATCTTTGATTGGTCCGGATTTGAACAAAGCGCGCTTTGACTCGTTCGCGTTCATTGGCTAGATCGTTCAATGAGTCATTGAGTGCGGGCTTTAAATTTGATTGGCGGGCGGCGGGGGCAATCGAATGTGGTCAGAGGTAACTTGACACGATGAAGATAGGCTATAGTGAAGAGGTTAGTGTCAAGTTATCTCTGAAGCTCAGGGTGTTAATAGTAGGATTTGCAGTAAAACTATTTGACCTTTTCAAGATTTTAAAACTGGCGCTGCTCTAAAAACATGATAACAACATGTAAAGTTATCAAGATCGTGTATAATACGTCACTGGTTACAACTCATATCCTTATTGGAAATACTACAAAGTTTTTAAGTGTAAATTTCTCCTGTATTTCCAGTTAACAGAGCAGCTTAAGTTCCGTCCCTACCAAGCCTTCAACAGTACCCAGAAGGCCTCACTGCTGGGGGCGCTGTGCAACGAATTGCTGTGTAGTAAAGTCATTACAAAGTGAGTGCGACCCTCTAGCTTCTTCCCAGCACATCTGGCTTCAGTATTTGATATAACTAAAGAAAGTCATGACAGTTACTGTTAAAAACATTATGGTTATGCCATTTTCTTTTAGTTTTTATAATTGTTGATATAATACCTGTAACATTTAGAATCTAAGCGACGATGAATGATTTTTAGTAGTTCCACACAGAGATCCAGGATGATACAAAAGACCTTGACAGCACTTTTACACCATGTTTTGGAAAGATAACTGTAATTTGTAACAGTTTTTGAAGTAGATTACTCAAGGCTCTCTGAATATTTTCCTCCTTTTTAGGAGAGGGTTGAGGCAGGGCCTACCATTTTGTGTTCTAACTAATCTTTCTGTTATTCTCTCTTAAGCTGAATGGCAATTGTGTATTTATTTTGATTTCATGTATTTATTCATGGATTTATTTATTCAAATATCTGTTTTTTATAAAAAAAAAATATATTCTTTTCAGTGAAATTGAGCGTAACATTGACACAGTGTCGAACCTCAGACGCGACAAGTGGGTAGTGGAAGGAAAAATAAGAAAGTAGGTCCCTAAATTTCAGCCGCTTTCCTTATTTACTTGTTTTATGTATTAGATGAAACGATAGCTTTAAAACATTGTTGCAGGTTGTAATGAAGAGAAACATATCAAGATTTTGTGATATTCCACTAAAGGCAACTTTAGTGTTGTAGTATCCAGAAATTTGTGATGAACCAAGTTATTGGGTATTCAGAAGAACCTGCCGTACACAAATATTATTTTATATACACTTTGGTTATATGCACAATGTTATTCAGACAAAAACCAGGGTTAGGCATGCACTCAAAAAAGTTTTTGGCAACACACATTTAATACCAATTCAAGATTAAATTTGTGATAAATAGTCCATCATTAAAATTTCTGTAGTATTTAACAAAGACAGAAAAAAAGTAAAGTAAGTAATTTGTGAGTAATCTGTGCACTCAAACCAATGCATTGCTTTACAAATTCGACAGAAAGTCCAGTTTCATAACTAAAGAAAATTGCAATTAGGTACTGTAACTGTGGTCAATAAAGTATACCTTAGGTAGGAAAGAGCCTTTATCATTTTGTGTCATGTAATTCTTTTCACCACAGAATGAAGCACCTCCAGTCCAAGAAGTTTGGCAAGTCATCCCCGTCCACCAGCCGTGCCGAGATCACCAATGGAGACAGCACCATGTTCAATGAAAGCTCCATCTTCACCATGGACAACGATGACAGCAGTAGCGTGGCGCCATCTGGCAGGAGCAGCAAGCGGGGCAGTGATGATGAGCATGAGGACGGGGAAGATGAAAGTGGAAACGAGAGCGAGGGTCCAGAGGGAGAGGGCCATGCTGATGCAGAGGCTGAACATGAGGTATGGAACTTGATCTGACGAAACCACGTGCCACAGTGTCAATTCTTTTTAGTACATAAAGCATAAGTTTTGTTTTGGCCAATAAACTGAATGTTTTCCCTACCATTTATGTCATGCTGAAGTATGTGGTATCATGTTTTCCTTGTCTTTAGCCCAAATGAGTTTTTTGACTGATAGGTATAAAAGAAATAAATTACAAGGAAAGAAGAAAATATTAGATGCTTTTGTGGCTTCTCTAAGTTCAAGTTTTGTCATAATATCATACTATTTACATGCAGGAGGAAGAACAGGTATCACAAGAGGAATTGGAGAAGAAAATTGAGAAACTGACAAAGGTTTGGAAATAATACAGTGGTTATATGACAGAAATCTTCTTTAATTTTTTAATGTTAAAAAAAAAAAGAAAATAAAATGCATAGATAGTGGAAAGTTATTCACTTCCAACTGTCTGTCTGATTCTAAAGGATGTTTAACAATTTTCCATTTCTGGCACTTTCTTAATTATTTTCAGACATCAAGGTTAACAATGTATCATAGCGCTGTGCCATTTTTGTATTCTTGTTATTATCTTTTTTATGTTCAAGCCTAGCAGTAATTTCTCTCTAAGCATATTCCCATTATTATTATTAATATGTTTCCTTGGTGATATTTTAGCAACAAGGTCAGTACAGAAACAAGGTATTTGATGCAGCTCAAAAGTTACGTGCAATGGCGTTTGGTCAAGACCGCTACAAACGTCGCTACTGGGTGCTGCCATACTGTGGAGGAATATTTGTGGAGGGGAAAGAATCCAGCGAACTGCCAACTGATGAGGAGAAGGATAGTTTAAAAACAGAAGACCAAAAATGTTCTTTGTCAGTGACTGAAAATTTGGAAGGGAACAAAGTAGCAGAGAATTCTGATGTCAAAAAGGAAAAGGGTTCCACTTGTAAATCACCAAAAATCAAAACCGAAATGAGCACATTGCCAATTAATGGGGCTGTCAACATTCCTGATCAAAAAACTCAAAGTGAGGATAAATCAAGCACCAATTTGTTCCTCCAGGAGCCAAGTACTACCAAGTTCAGTGACCTAATTCAGCCAAAGTCTGAAGAAAACAGTTTGAAAGTGGCCACAGGGAGTATGGACAGTAAAGGGAACAGCAGCATGACCTCTCCGACCTCCACCCCTGCAAAGCCTGGTTTCATGAGCATTGACAGTATACTGAAGAAAGACTTTGTTAGCTCACCGAGCCTTCTTAGTTCATCTTGTCTCACTACAACTCTGAGTTCCACTGTAAACAGCACAATTGATATGGTGATGAAGAACCACAGTGTGGAGCCCATCAACCAATCCTGGTTCAGCATCATTCCCAGAGTTCCCTGCGATGACAGCTCAATTGTACACAGCCCAGGTACTCCTAAAACAAAGACTAGTCTGGAGACCTCGCATTCCTCATCATTTGGAAGTCATAGTGCATTCAGTCCATTCCAAAAATTGAACTCCACTCCAACTTTTGCTGGCTTCCAAATGGGCCAGATTGGCAACCAGCAGGGCTATGCATACCCTGGTTTACCAGTGTTTGGATCTAGTCCAATACCTCACTCAGGACCAAACTCTAAGCCGGATACTCAGGGTACGTCACATGGTGCAATAGAGACAGTGGCAGGGCTGAAAGAGGTTCCAGCAGAAGCTTTAAAGCAACACTCAGAGCCTAAACCTATACCTAAAGGTAAGTCTCTCTCTCATGCTCTCTCTCTCTCTCTCTCTCATGCTTGTAAAAAAACTGATAGATAGAAAGCAAAACCTGACAGATAGCAAACATTTGTAGTTTGAAATGTATGCAGGTTCCATAGAAAAACACTCCCATTATTAAATGACCTCTTTGTTTAGAGTACCTGACTTACACTTGTGAATCCATGTTTTTTTTTCCACTGTAGAACTTGAGCGTGGTTGGTGGAGGATCACAGACCCCAATCAGCTGAAGCAGGTGATGAGATGTCTGCATATGAGAGGGATAAGGGAGAGAGCCCTGCAGAAGACAGTACAGAAATACAACGACTATGCATGTACAGCTTGCAGCAAAGGAAGCAAAGAAGGTAAACTGAGTAGTATTCACTTATATCCTAGGTCAAGGTCAAATTGTAATAACCAGTTGATATTTTCAGATCATGCTTTTTAAAGTTCTTTCGAAAGAAAATAATAAAAGAAAAATAAAAGAAAAAAATAATAATAAAATAAAAAGAAAAGAAAAAATTACACACATGCATGAATGGCATGTGACATAAAATAGACCCCCCCCCTTAAAAATAGATAAATAGAAGAAAAAAAAAACCTTGCCAAGCTGAAATGTTCTTCTGTCTCTCTTTACTTCAGCCACAGAGTTGGAGATCACAGACCAGGACAAGAAGATCTCTCAGACAGAGGCAGGTGCTCCTGACCCTGACCCCCGCGACCTCTGGCTGCCGGAGACTGCCCTGGACCTGGAGATCTCCGTCCTGGAGGATGTGGAGAGTTTGGAGGAGAGGATATTTAATGCCAGTTTACAAGTTAAGGTAGGTACACAGTGATTGACCTGGTAGAGGGTCTGGAAGAGAGGATATGAAATGATTACAACCAAATTAAAGGGATAATAACTCTTCGTATGAGATATATATTTCAAAATAAAAACAATGTGAATAACTCATAGAAATATAATATATTCTGTTTTACCACAAAAACGGCAGTTATAACTATTATTCTGATATCTGAGCTTGTCTTTAGACCACATGACCTCCATTGATAGCTATACTCTGTTAAAATCTCTCAAGAGATTTTAACAAAAAACCAAACTTTTAAGAAAAAAACCAGGGACTAACTTTGAATGTAAAAATGGATTCATTAACCATTGGTAAGTACGGGAAAATTGTTGTTTACTCCAGGAAAATTCATTTTTTGGCCGAAACGAAGAGTTATTATCCCTTTAATTTTGCATCCAACTTGTGAAAAATTTGGATTTTTCAAAGCTCTTCGACAAACCAGACTAGTGCAACTTTTAGTGGATGTTTTATATTTTTTTCCATTATTTGTGGATTTAAGCTGCAGACTAGTTAATTTCTATTTAAACTGATAGTTTTTTAGGTCTTCCAGCATGAGTGTCCAATGGACAGAAAAGTTATAGGTATAGACTATAAGTATATAAAACACTATACTGTACAGTAGTGTATCCTATTAGTGATGTGTCCTCATGGTTCCAGGGATGGAAGCTGCCTCCCAAAGCCACAGAAGAGGAAGAGGTGAAGCTGGTCTCCAGGACAACCATCATTAAGAAGGATGATGAGTTCTATCCATTGGAGCTGGCCAAAGAGAGACTGGTGAATTTAGAGAACAACATTGAGAGAAGATATCTGAAGCCTCCCTTTATCAAGTCGTGAGTATTACACAAAACATGAGTCCTGGGGAAGTTTTTCAGTGAGCAAGTTTTTTTTTTTTTGGCATTTGAAGCATCCTGAACTAGGTAAAAGGCTGAAATTGTTGTAAAATTTAAAATTGAGTCAAAACAGCTTGATAAGCAAAATTGTTATATTCCTTTTATTTTTTTAAGTTACAGTTTAATCAAATGTGAGGTTATACAATTTAGTTGCACTTACCAGCATTACAATGCATTACAGCTTAGCTACCAAATTCAAAGATTGGCTGTGAATTGTTCATGTATGCCTTTTATAAATTAAATGTTATTTTTTCTGCAATTGGAAGATGATTTGGACAAATTAAAGTGCAGTTTAATATGCAACATGGATGCCAGATTCCTAACATGATATTCTGGTGTAGATTGATGATATCACAACGACAGTTGGAGTAAGTAGATGATAGTCAAAATGGGATGATATTCTCTGTCAATAAAGCCTGTCTGGTTAACACTTTTCTACTTGACCTTCAGGCCAGAGCTGGACATGACCAAGCTGACCAAGCCAGGGAACGAGAGTCCGTCCTCTTCAGACGACAGTGACACAGATGACACCACACCAGCTCTATTGCTATGGCGACGGGCTGTCACCTCGGCAACGAATCCATCCCAGCTGATGATGTGTGTACTACAGCTGAACAAGGCCATAGCCTGGGAGAAAAGCATAATGAAAGTGGTATGTGACCTTCACTGAGATGAAATCCATCTTTATATGTGTTGCAACCTTTGCCAAATAGAAATCTGCTCTGATGTTGGGTTTACAAATAAAGTCAAAAGTTCTGATTCTGTTAAATGTATAGAAATGTACAGAAAGATAATGATTTTACACCTCAATTTCATCACATCGGTAAATTTAAGCTGATCTTGGTGTGGACATTTCTTTCTGCCTGCATATTTCAGCCTTTTTAGACCAAGAAAGTAGTTTTTGAGATTTGTGGTTCTCTGGTGTGAAAAATAAATTTTTTATTTGAATTTGTTGACTATACTTCTGTTTTTATCATCCAGATTTTAGACTTTGTATTATTTTCCTTCATTTTTTCAAGTTGAAAACCAAATTTAAGATTATGTGACATTAAATTTTATAATTTCATTTCAGTCCTGCCAGATCTGCCATCTTGATGATAATGAGGCAGAGTTATTGCTATGTGACAGCTGTGACAAGGGGTTCCACACCTACTGCTTCAAGGTATAATATACGTGTGTGTGTGTGTGTGTGTGTGTGTGTGTGTGTGTGTGTGTGTGTGTCACACTGTCCTTGGGATAGCAATTTACACTTGGTGCCTCTCTTCACCAGATTATAATCAAAATGTTGATGATATTGATATAGTTATCAATATTGATATGGAGGCATTATGACTACTTCCCTGGCACTTGATGTTCCTCTTAAAAGGAAAAAGAAACTCCATGATTCAGGGATCAGTTAATGTACAGGTGGTCAGTTTTAACTTAGTAGGCTTTCTAAGTTAAAAAAGAGAGAAGAAACTGATGGTAACATGATCAATCTGTGATATATATTTTTAACATTTCAGCCTAAGATGGAGAATATTCCAGACGGAGACTGGTATTGTTACGAGTGTATCTCCAAGGCGTCAGGTCATCCACACTGTCTGGTGTGTGGGAGAAAGAACGGCAAGATGGCGGAATGTGACAAGTGCGATAAGGCGTACCACATTGATTGCTTAAATCCTCCGTTACCCAGGTGAGAGGGGATTCATTTATTTATTTTTATAATAAGTTATTTATTTATTTTATCTCCAAACAGCTTTGGTAATGACAGCAATGTTTCTGGACCAGTAAAAAAGGAAATGTTACTGTGTACTCCTAAACATGCATTTCCTAGTGTTTTGGCACATTTTTTCCCCAATTTTCAGCAATTCATCTACTTGTCATTCAAAATTTTCTGCTTTTAAACTTCACATCAATTTTTTGTTTTAATCTCAGACTGCCAAGAAAGTACACCTGTATTTCCTGTCTAATGAACAAAACCAAATGTAAAGGGAAAAGGGGACGGAAGAGTAAGCAAGAGAAGGAACTAGAAATATTGACGGAAGCAGCTAAGGCAGCCGGGGAGAAGAGAAGTAAGGAAGAAAATGCCATGGATCTCACACCTTGTGGGTAAGTGATTCAGGAGTCAAATAGACAGCGGGATTTCTTTAAATAACATCCTTGGCAAAATATTTGTAATCCAAGTTCGTACTTACAACACTGTGTCGTGTCCCACATAGATATCTTATGACTGCATGGTCTCAATTTTTCTGAAAATTATCAAATGCTTCTAGAGACTGTGATCTCATTCAAGAATAAGTTAATCAACTTAATTGCATATTTTTCTGTGTGTGAAATAAAGTAAAATAAAGAATGGTTTTGGAAGCGCACATGGAAATCCATTATATACACCTACCATTTAAGTGTTGATCTCCTAGTGCAACAATGGCTAGTTAAAATATAGAAAAAAACAAGCAAATATTTGCTAAATACACACTGTAATATGACTAAATGTCATTGTATTGTCTCCTAGTATTATGTTGGAGGAGTTAGAGGACCATGAGGATGGCTGGCCCTTCCTAAAGCCAGTGAACACCCGGCAGTTCCCTCAGTACAGGAAGGTGATCAAGCAGCCTATGGACTTTGCCACCATGAGAGCCAAACTAGAGGACAACGAGTGAGTAATATTATAAAGAAAAAAAATGAGGAATGGTGCTGAGCAAAGGGTACTGAGAATTGTTGCTGACTAGTGTCATGTCATGAAAGACCCAAAAGGTTGTAAACTTTTTGTTTGAGTCTTGAAGCAAACTATGATAATCATTGTCTGGATAAGGGCTTTACCATCATGAAAGTCAAGCTTTAGGACAGTGAGTGAATTATAATATAAGGCTACCTTTCCCAGGAGAACATAAGGGGGAATTTGGGGTCTTTTTCACATATTTAAACAACTTAAGTAGTATATAGGCCCTTGCAAAGGCTACTAAGAATTTTGGCTAAATTGCATTTCATGAATCGTCAAAAATACTGCAAGACTTGTTATTTAGTTGTATTTTTTAAAATCCTAGGGCAATATTAATCACCATGTCTATATATATTAACCTACTGTTACTGTCAGTAGCCCATTGAGATATACTTATTTAACTACATGTCCCCAGGAGTTTTACATTTTACAAATTTATTTTAATAGTATGATAAGCTTCAAGACCATGTAATACTATGTCTTTTCTTTCAAACTCAGAAGAACTGTATTGTATCATTTCAGTTACAAGACTCGCCAGGAGTTTGCCTCGGATGTTAGGATCATCTTTGACAATTGTCGGACATTCAACGAGGACGACTCGGACGTTGGTCAAGCTGGACATAACATGAGGAAGTACTTTGAAGTGAGGTGGAAGGAGCTGTGTAAGATACACTCCTAGCCAGGGGTCATTTATAGCCTGAAAAATATCACGCTTATCAGTGACTTGCGGGTATTCTGGAAGATGGTCTAATTGTTTTATGGAAAGATGGATGGATGTAAGCAGGCTTAGATCTTTAATTTATTATCAATATGATTACTGGTCATTATTATTATTATTATTATTATTATTATTATTGCAGTCTTTGGAAGGCAGTGTTGATAGCATTGTGGGAGGCAGTTGCTAGCATAGTTAAGTCTGTCGAAGTTTGAAAGTAAAACATGCTGTGAAATAACCATATGCTTGGTTTATTATAATTATGCCCTTTTCACACCCAGTGGTACAGTTAACTGGCCCAGGTAGCTTCCTGAGGTCCTTCCATTTAACCATGCTGCAGGGGGGGGGGGGGGTCCCTCTCAAAAGTTCTGCACAAGTGGGTTTTCTGCTGTTAAGTTAATTAATTGGCATAGGGTTCAACAAAACTTTAGTTGTACCTAGACTTATCAAACTCCTTGGGGACTCTTGCTGAATGCAATCTGATTCACAGGCCTCATGCTGGTATTGTGTATACTGTTTCAAACTTGTAGACTCTGTTTAAGTGGATAATCAGACCATTAAGTTATCAATCTCCCAAAGTGGACCAGTCCAGTGAAAGTGTACCACTTGATGTGGAAAAAGATCTTAGTCAATCCCTTTATTACATGGACCCAACCTGGGGCTCTTGCCATATGCTTTCTTGCAATGTGTTGAAAAATAAACCATGTTTCTAAATATAGGTATGATTTTGAGCCTTTAAAATTTGTGCAATATGCTTAAGTATGCGTCCGTCTTTTTCTTCCTTCTGAATGTCTGCGTTGTAAGTAGGTGAACTTTGAAACCTCTCAGTAATGGTGGACCTTGTAAAACTATAACACTGGTGTCTTATCAGAAATTCTGCTTACATTGCTTGCATTTATACATGGCAGTTTCTAGTTATTTAAGGAACAAGATGAAATTGTGAACAAGAACAAATGCTGGTGCTTAAAAGCCATTGTATTTCACAGCAACAGTTCAGAAAATGTCCATAAGTTTCTTGAATGATGCCTTTGCATTAGTACAATTTCAAGCTTAGCCTAACACATTTTGCGGAAATGGGACATAACTGGCTATTGTCATTTTGGCACTGACATCAACAAAGACATCTTTGATGTTCCCTGCTAGTGGCATCATACTAATATTACCATCTTTCAGTGTTGCTAAAATATTCATGCTTGTGAAAAAATGTTTATCAAAGATGCAAATTTTTTATGAAGTATGTCATTTCTTCACCTAAATTTAGAATATAGAGCTGATGCACATTAAGATTGAAGTCTTTTTTCTTATTTGATCTCAATTCTGAAATGTTGTCTTTAAATATTTTGGATGTACATGTAGGATAGGTTTACAGACAATTTTAGACAGTGAAAAATTGCATGTATGCCCGGTGTAATATTTGTAGACTTTTCCACATTGAAAGTAGAAATTGTGTTGAAAAGAAAAGATTATAATCCATCATTTGGGGTCCATTTTCGATTTTACGTTAGGCACAGTTCACTTTAAGTAAATTTGTCAACTATGTTAATCAATTGGTAACTATGGTGTAAACTTCTGTAAACAGGGAGTCACTTTTCTCCAGGATTTTACTGTCTGGCTTGACAGTAACGCTTATCTCATCTTCTGATTGAAGAACTGTGCACAAAAACTGAAAAAGTAGTAACTAAGAAAATTGATTTTTTTTTCTCTCACACAATAATGCTGTAGGTATCTCCCCGGATGTGCATGTTATTTATGAAACCAAAGGATAATTAGATGGCATTTTAAATATTAATAATAGTTGTTTTCAGAAATATTCCTAGGAGATAAAAAGGCAATGTAGAGTTAAAGAACAGTTCTATACTTACTGAAGTATTGGGTTCCTGCGAAGAAAGATGCAACGATTGTAGTTTATTATATACCTCATGCATTTCGTCTTTCAAAGAGAAACTGTATATTTATGTTTTCAAGTATTTTGTATTTATTTATTTATTTTTTGTTTGTTTTGTTTTTTACAGTACATAATAAAGTTTAAAAAGTATAAAATAAAACCCAAGTTGTGTGTGCTTTTTTCTCATCGGTCTGTCTGTCCGTGTCGTCGCCGTCACTGTCCGACACGAAACAAACCCCTTTGTTTGAGTTACAGTTTAAATGTTTATGAAAAACATCCTTACCAATTTACCATGACCAAACCGCTACAAAATATTTCGGAACGCGATGTAATATTTAAATTATAATGTCTTTATTTACAATAATATGCTCATTTACAATATCTATTTGTTATAAAAAAAACTCTTTAATATCAACTCTTAAAATTGGATTCTTCCCCGGAATGTACAATCCTTTTTCATGAAAAAGTGTATTGCACAAGCGATAAATAGAAATCATTATGTGATTAATGTGATATCTTTAATTACTACACACAATGTTCTTAATGGTTATCTACATCAATATATTACTATATTACACCTGGAAGCCCGTACATTAGTATTCTTAGACATGTTTTAGATTTTGTACATAATCTCATAGTTGCATTTATTTTAAATGTCTTTTTCATTGATATAGTTAAAATATTAAAANGGGGTGGTGGGGATGGGGGGGGGGGGGTTTCAAGGTGGTGGTGGCCAGGTTGCTGTACAGCTAAGCATTACTCTCTGGTCGCAGTCGAATCTAAAAAAAAAAAAAGAGAGAAATTCGTTTAACAGAATCTGTAGAAAAATGAAGCCAATCACCTCAACTATAAATTGCTCAGATATACTCAACGATGGAAAAAGTACTAGTTATAATGAAACAACAATCAATTAAATGCACGAAATTGTCCTAAGTATTTGACAAGAATTTTGACGGTCTCTTAGGATTTCTTATATTTAATTCTGTGCCTTTTGAATATGCGTCCAAATGCTCATTTATCTCATTTATGTATTTTTTAATCTATTTACATTTTTAAATCATTAACAGCCTTATAATGCACATATAAGTATTAAAGGCACGCACCTGCGCCGTGTTTCTCCCTCCCGCCAGTTTAGGCCGTGATATCCTGAACTCCCGCTCTGGGTCCAGGCTGCCCGTCAGGAGGGTGTCCCAGCCAAATATGTCCGGATCAGACTGGTCTGTGAGAGAAGAAAAACAAAGAAAATATATTATTATTATTATACATGTAGTTAAACGAAGTTAATAAACTGAACATATATTTTTTGTTGTTGCATTGAAACGTATTTTCATTCAGTGAAATCTGAGGAATTACACTAAGAAAACTAAAACTTGCCTAAAATTTATTGCATTGTATGAATTTATGTTAATGTACACAAATTTGTGTCAGCCAAAATTACGCACGTCTAAGCCAAAACCAGAAAATCAGTACTCACCGCCACGCCAGTTATTATCATAAATATTCATGGACTTGAATCTGTCTCTGTGAAGGTAATCTTCCCTCGAGCTTCCCGAGCTTGACCCCCGGCTACTACTGCCGGACACTGTACTGGCCAATCCTCCCCGGCCCAGGTGCTGCCAGTAGGGGGTGTACTTAGGGTGGAAGATACCGGTAGCCGGACCGTAGGAGTCGTGGAGGTAGCTGGAATAGTGGGGATTTGATTAACTTCATAAATTAGAATGTAATTATGAGAGCGTTACTGCATACTGCAAAGCCACGTATTTAAACGTATTTAACAAGTGAAACGTATGAATTTAACGAAACTAACAAACAAATAAATAAATAAATTTTGTGTTGGGACAAAAGTGGTAAAATTTCCCAGATAGGATTAAACTTCATCGATTCACAGTTCCAAAGCTGACTTTGCACATACCCGTATAAAAGACAAGGCAAAATACCATTGTAAACGAAATACCCGTAACAGTTACAGTCATTTTAAGTATTTCCTACTTACTTGCGCCATCTGCTTCCTCGCTTCAGCTTCTCCTCGCGCGCCTTCTTCTTCTTGTAGACGATGACAGCTATGAGAATGCAGATGGCCACAATCAGCGCCACTCCGCCCACAGTGCTGGCTGCTACAATGGCGATCTCGTCCTGGGTCAGTCCCACCTTGGTCTCACAGAGGTCGCCACTGAAGCCTACCTGGCATCTAATGAAATGGCAAAAACGCATTAAATATGGAAATTTGTGATTGTCAGTTTCCTTTATTGTGTTCCCACTAAAACCAGAGAGTTGGTTCTTATGATAGTGGCATCATCAAATTGGGATACTTATGGTCAAGAGAAAACGGTACTGGTTACTTTGCTGATATAACCAACACAGCACCAACAAAGCGAATTTTTGTAAGTTGCAATAATTTAGTGATTTATGGCTCGAAGCGGATAAGTAAGTTAGTAAAATCGCTATTCTCTTCACTTAAGGTTATTAAGTCTACAAGAATGTCTAAAAATTATAAAATAACTCGCAAAAAACCCATTCCTTACTGACGATTTACCCTCTGCCTATATTTGCTTCCCCATATTACATGTACCGTATGCTTTGGGAGACGTCCCTTACTTAACTTACCTGCAGTTTCCACGGTTGCCTGTGCCGCATTGTCCTCCGTTCTGACATCCGAACACTTCACACGGTTTCAACACAACTAGAACGAGTTGGAAAGCACGTTAAATCGGTCAATTTACAAGGGTTGTCAGTATTCTTGACTTCTTATTTTGCACTGTCATCAAAAAACTTAATTCACGTGTTGCAACATTCACAAGACGCCGATATTTATATATATTTATTCTAATTATTACTAACACGAGTCTAAACTCACCTCCGTCTAGAGTGGGCGTGCCAAGCACGGGGAAGTAGACATTCTCTTCGCTGAAGACGTAACTCAAGGCCTTTAACTTGGTAAGGATGTACTCCTTCATGGCCTGTCTGTGAGCTGTCAGATTAGCCCCGGTCGTGTTCGTACGGACGTTGTGCTCTGTTATTAAACTGCCATGCCTGCAAATTTAATATCAATGAATATACAGTGTGGTTAAAATTATGTCTTTAAAAAATTGTGGGCGATAAAAAAACACATAACACAGAAACTTCGCCCATTCGTGTACATTCGACTTCATGGCAATTGAAATGCTGTTATAACACAGTACTATTACTGTTTTATTTGTGAAAGTAAAATAAATCAAAGCATCATAACAGCCTATTCATGCACCACAGTGGGACTAATTGACCCGTTTCATCATTCTAGATAAAACTTACTTACCACGTGTTAGTAACAACAACTTCTCTGAATCCTGGGAACGCCTGATAGAATCCCGTCAACTGAAAAATAATCATTTGTTAGCTTTGTACAAGGTCTTTCATATCGACTATTTATTTATAAAATAGCGTTTCGGCATTAAAATGCAATATTTATGTAGGCCTACGTTAGGTCCTCCTTTAAGGTGGCCACAGATTTCGAATTCCAAATCACAGTTTATATCTCACAACATATTTACTGCATGAAGAATGAGTCATTCTGAATGAATTGCACCTTTGGAAGTCAAATTTGACATTTTTTTTTGAAAGAATAGTTTCAGGTGGTGCGGTGAAGTGAAGCCAAATTCAAATAATCTTGACGTCAAAATTCAAGAGAAAAAAGACTTACCGACTTGGTGAGGATAACGCGTTCAGCAGAAGAAGGGTTCTGGTACGGCGTCGGGTCAACTACATCTAACGTCATATTGACTAAAAGATAGAAAGAAGGTGACCATTTAATCTACTAAAATCTAAAAAATCAATTTTTTTGCAAAAAGGTACCATCACTGTTAATGACTTTCAGGTTAGACAAACAAAGGCAAATTTGTTACGCGGATGATCAATTCTGAACGCAATTTTTCTTACATATTGCAACATATAACATCGGCTTAATCACAACTAAGGCGTCTATGTATCATACCTTAAACTAATACAAAGATATTCAAAGTACTGATATAGGTTATCGAATTTCAAATACGACTCTCTTACCTCTGTACGTTGTGTCTCTGTCACATCTGAAGCCGTTTCCATGGTAACCCGAGTTACAAGTACAGGTGTAGCTGCCGACAGTATTGGCGCACGCAGCATTGCTGTCGCAGTCGCCGTTGTTCCTCAGACATTCGTCGATATCTGTGCAAATAAGAACAGTATTCCAAGTTTTCTTAATGAGAAATTATTAAGAAAGCTTTGAAAATGAGTAAAAAAATTAATCACATTATGAAGACTAAAATTAAAACCAAATACCAAACTGCACTTCTGTTTCTTCTTAATGTTTCTTAAACTTTGCTGAAATGACACATACACAAAATAACAATAATAATAACAGTAATAATAATAATACCTGTTACACTTCCTATGACCAAGTCAGGTGTTCTGAGAAGCGTAAATGTCGCTGTCCCAGTCCCTGGGTCTACAAGCCTGTTGTTGGCCGCCTGGACTCCATTGAGAATGTACAGGGAAAGGTTGGTCTCCGTCTCATTCTCTGGAGCCGTGGTGTTCAGCTGCACGGTGTAGTAGACAACAACACTACCGTTCCTGAAATGCGAGTATGCAAGTGAGATATTTATAGGGAAGATTTGCTGTATTTTGACACACGAAAGCAATGTTGGTTTAATTATCTTATAAAAATTGCAAACGTTCGCGCACGCTCGTGTGTGTGTGTGTGTGTGTGAGAGAGAGAGAGAGAGAGAGAGAGAGAGAGTCTGATTGACTGAAAGACTGACTGATCGACTTACTCTATCGATGTTATGTCAATACGGTAGAAGCCTGGGTAGCTCCTGTAGAAGTCTTCGAGCTGAAAACAAATATAATCTTTTAACGACTGTGTATCACTCATTGAGACGATGTGCTTTATAACTATAAATGACAACCTGCAAATTACAAGCAAAATGGGTTTAAATGTTACATAAACTAATAATAAAACTGATAAAACGTGCAATAACGAAGAACCATCGGCAACGCTTACGTGTTCTTCCATACTACTTGAAGATACTTACGGTTCTCAACAGTATTTGATAGTCGGCAGATCCGGTTTGGTATTTAGTTGGCGAATAAACTTCATCAAAGACCATTTTCACTGCAATGGAAAACAAACATGCCTTACATATGACGTAAAAATACATTATTTAAATTACTATGAAGGGGCAGATGTAGGCTAAGCAATTATAGCTGTTTATCTTTATTCTCCGTATCCTTCGAAGAGCATTGGCTAACATAAAGATTCTGGACTGTCAATTAGTTAAGATAAAACAACTGCCATAGAAACATAATAAAAACAACAACAACAACAGAAATAATAATAATAATAATAATAATAATGTCTTAAAAATGCCATAGAAACATAATAAAAACAACAACAACAACAGAAATAATAATAATAATAATAATAATAATAATAATGTCTTAAAATGTATATAAACTATAGCTATTACTATAGCTATGTATTGGCTTTTAAACTACCGCTTTCTTCTTTACTAATGATTACATCCCCTCACCTTTGATGCCTTGTAAGGCTTTGCAATCCGTTCCATTTCCAATAAACGCGCTCTTGCAAGTACACGTGTAACTCCCCACAGTGTTGGTACAGTAAGCGTTAGGACTACAGTCATTGGTCGTCGTGCACTCATCAATGTCCGAGCACGTCTGACCATTGCCAGAAAATCCAGAATTGCACGTGCACGTGTATGAACCAATGGTGTCCCTACACGTGGCGTTCGTATGGCAAGGCGTCGTCAAGCATTCGTCGACATTGGTGCACGATTGGCCGTCACCGCTGTAGCCTTGGTTACATGCGCACGTGTAGGAACCAAATGTGTTTGTGCACTGGGCGTTGGAGGCACAATTGTTGGTTGTGTCACATTCGTTTATATCTGTAAAAAACATGACATCAAGCATGAAAACAGCACATTTAAGATGGTGATATTGATATGTAGTGGAATCTGCTAAATCTGTGTATGTTTGGAACCTTCAAACAACAAAATAGTACTACTACTACTACTACAGTGTACGCAGTACATGCATATAAGATGAACAAGAAGGAATCCAATCCTCTTAGTTATTAAAAAAATCGTTCGTTTAACATACTTCCGAAAGGCAACATATTCAGAACTATGTGTTCTGTAACAGGTTTCTCGTATCCAGCTGAACGGCACTATATTCATGAGGTTCTGTTAAAAGTGTGCGAGTTTTGGAAAGACAGGTCCCAAAAGGCAGTACGCGAGATGGACACACTGGCTACTGTATACTGACCGTTACAAGTCCTCTGGTCACTCTGTTCCAGCAGGAACCCGCTATTACAACTACACGTGTAGCTCCCGTCGTTGTTGTTACATGTGCTGGTGTTACTGTTACAGTCATCCAGGTTCTGGGCACATTCATCAATGTCTAAGAATAGAGAAAAGCAATAGTTATGAAATAATGCACCTTATTTAACCATACATAGCTGTTGCAAGAAAATACTGCAAAACAGCCATTATTATTATAATTAACAATGCTCTTGGCATCCGTAACTGTAGGTGGAATAAATGACATGAAATATCGATTCACGATAGTAAAACACACTCACCTATACAGGTCTCATTGCCTTGTAGCTGGTAGCCACTGCGGCAGAAACACACGGGTGGACTCGCCGTAGCATTACACAAACCCTGGTTACAGTTCAGCCCGGCATCAATACAAGCTTGGAGGGAAGCATTCGCCACTGGAAATTTAGGATAACAGAGGTGGTGAGTAATTGTGTATGCTGATTCCAAACACAGGTGCTTTAATGTGATAAAAAGGAGAAAAGAAAGTTCTATCTAGCTAATCTGTTCGTCTAATCTGTCGAATATGTTTGCAGGATTCTTCCGTTTGACGTTCTGGTGAATACCAGACACCTAAGCAAATGGACTTTCCCAACTCCTTGGCTTTTCGAGCAAAGAAAACATCAATCATATTACCGAAGTGCCATTTCAATCTCACCTTTCTTACAGGTGTATCCATTGAGAGCCAACTGGTAATCCGAGTTGAAGCAAGAACACCTGAAACTTCCAACAGTGTTGGAACACACGTGGTCACAGTTGTCCGTCTGAAGGAGACACTCGTCTACGTCTGTGAAAGGAAAATGTGTTCATTTCAATGGAAAAAAAATTAAATACAAATTGTTCTAAAATGTATCGATTTGCTCCTACAGAGATTAAACATTTGATGAAATTTCCGCACGATGAGATTTTCTTTACTTTGTAGAATTTATCGATGCAAGACATATCCGTGTTAATTGTTGCGTAACCACAATATAACAAAAGACATCTGCGCTACCAAACATTCACAAGGATTCAGGCAAGCCCTTGCTTATTGCTTCAAAAAATGTCCAAAAGTACAAATCGGCATATTTTTCCGAAATACTCAAACTAACGAAACTTTTAGGATAAAAAAATGCATCTTGAAAGAAAGCATTTTCAATGAATAGATTGGCATGTTAACGGCGAGACGCTCAGGCATGAATTTGTGTCATTGGAGAGGAATGCTGCCGGTACTTACCTGTGCAGTGTGTGGAGTTGGTCAAGGTGTACCCGGGGTTACAACCACAGGTGTAGCTGCCAGGTGAGTTATTACACACCTGTTCACAACCGTCAGTGGCGGCAGCACACTCATTTATATCTATAATAATAATAATAATAATAATAATAATAATAATAATAATAAAGGAAGTGACATTATATATCATATTTTCAGCATAATAACACGAAGACCTTGTTGAATATAGTAACAATGTCATTCGAAAGTTAAATGTACTTTTTTATTAAAGATTCCATAGTAAGCGTGAAGGAAATCCATAAATTCAATTGCCAACGTTTTTATAGCAAATGAGTCTAAAGAAACATTACGCAATATATTTTTTCTAAAGGTACATTCGGTTATGGGGTAGATTAACAAAAGAGATCCATTTATGCAAAACCCAACATCTCGTAAAGCAATGAAACACCAATGGCGTTTTTATGGCGACCGCTTACCTATGCACACTCCACTACTGTTTTTAGTATATCCCGCTAAACATGTGCAGTCATAAGAGCCCTGTGTGTTGCTGCATTGGGCATTCACACCACATAAAGTCGCATTCAGGGCACACTCGTCTATGTCGTTGTTACAGTTTTGACCCTCGTATCCAGGGACACAGTCGGTACAGCCGATGACGCTGTCACAGCGCGTGGAACGTGCACTGCAGTCACAGAGATTGGAACAGCCGGCACCCCAGTGCAAGGAATCGCATGCTAGAAAACGAAAAGAGACAACAATTTTCGTATAAATGTCTGAAATGTGCTCTCTGGGACAAATACGTATGATTTCTGCTGCCCGTAACTGTGATAATTGGCTTTTCCTAAATTTTCTGCTTTATTCTTGTCATGTTTTAGCTCGATTTTTATATCAAGATGTGGACATTGAAGAAACATTTCGTCCCCTTTTATGTTCACAATATATAATTTGATTTCAATATGTTTCATTTATCTATCTTATATCGTTATCATTTTAATTATCTTGGCCATTTTTACAAAACCTTATTCCTACAGAAAATAACTACTTATTTGTACTTCTTCAAAGGCAATAGCAGTAGAAAAACAATAAACGTTAGTCTGTAGTCATTTCGCATTACCACTTACCGGTGCACGTCCTCATATCAGCCTCAAGCCGGAAACCTACTGCGCACGCGCATGTGTAACTGCCTTGTGTGTTTTCACAGGCAGATGTCGGGCTGCACTGGTTGTCCGTGCTACACTCGTCTATGTCTGGAATAAACGAGCCCAGGTAAAATTAATTTTATTACTCAAATAATACTTAAAAGACAATGCCCAATACTCAGAGCAAAATTCAGTGTAACACTACTTATTTTCTTACAGAATGCCGAGACTTACCATTACATGTGACACCATCACTCAGAAGGTTGTAACCAGGGGGACAGAAGCAAGCTGCGGCGCCATTGCTGTTGTAACAAGAGGCTGGAGACACACACGAGCTGCTCGCACACACGGCGGCATCTATTAATAAGAATTACTTTTTCATATTGGTATGCAAAGGCCACACAATAAAAAGGTACATTGAAAACCGCCAAAATAACTGTGCTGGAACCTACCGAGCCGTGTGTTATTTATTTCATTTCATTAAGTTATTACTACCTCAAGGACGAAAGACGTAAAAAAGAGTACGTATACATGCATAAAATTACACACACAATTGACATACCTGTAAGCGTGCACGTCTTGCCGTCACTGTTCAGATTGTACCCAGTTTGGCAGGAACAGGTGAAACTGCCTATGGTATTGGTGCAAATCTGCTCACAGCCATCTGTTCTGGCGGTACACTCGTTTATGTCTGTGGAAATTGATGATTTTGCATAAAAATCTAGCTAGTTATCAGAAATATTACTAGCAATCACACGCCCTAGATATCTGAGGTATGTAATGCTTACATACATGTAGCAGTAGGTATGTTAAGAAAACCAAGCAACTACAACCCTTTTAATTATATAAATGCCCTAATAGTTTGAATTGTTTCCTATAAAGACACGAACAAAAAGGGCTAACAGAAAAAAAAAAACTTAATAAATAAATGAAAAGAAATAAGTTTAAAATAGGTGAGTAATAACACTCGATTAAACTACAATAATAATAATAATAATAATAATGGCTGAAAAGCACATGGGAAGTGCATCGAATGTGCAGTACTCACCAGCACATGTCTGCGTGTCGGTGTTCCTGTAGCCGGTGTTACACGTGCAAGAGAACGAGCCGTCCGTGTTGGCACATGTAGAGATGGAAGCGTTGCACGTGTTACTGCTGTCGCTTAGGCATTCGTCAATGTCTAAAAATAATAGACGCTGTACAGATATGTATATCTATTTCAAAGAACATTCTTATCGATCAGGTACGTACAGGAATGGGAGTTGCATTTTTTATTATCCAAACCAAAGTAAAAAGCATGCGCCATATGATACGTTAAACATTCAGCTATCATTCATTCCTTTATTAATTTGGTGAATTAAAGAAAAACGATACATTTTCACAACTTTGAAGAGAATCATGCTTTACCTTTGCATTTCGAGCCAAGAGTCTCATAGCCAGATGGGCACGTGCAAATGAAGCTCCTGTTTTGGGCGACTTCCTGTGCAGGCGTCAAGTCAGTGCAGTTGGCCACTGCGGGACATGGGTTGTTGGCGCATCCATCGACCTCCTGCTCGCAGTCATTACCTGATGAAAGTGGGCAAAGGGAAGGAGGCGATAAATATGTCGATGTAAAGATGCAGTAGTGTGGTTATCCATTTAATGAGTGGAAGAATGGTGATTTAGCAAAATTACAATAAGTGTAAATCGATTTTACACTCTGGCATTATATATCAAGCTTCCAAGAAAGTTTGCAACTTGTTTGTGGACTTACATGTAGCACGATGCAGTTGCCATGGTAAATGTCAAGAGAATTTATCGAAAAAAAAACCCCACTGAATTTTACAAGCACGCCATCAGACACAAATTGCCACCTACCAGTATACCCCGTGTCACATTCACATTCCACCAACCGGACACTGGCGTCCACTAGCTGTCCTGCTCGTAGCTGGTTAAACAGACAGCTGCCTCTGTTACTGCAGCCAGAGCAAAGGTCAGCTGTCACCGTCCACGTGGTAGAGCCGCCTTTGTTATCAGTCAATATCAGACTGGAAATGATCACATTTATAACTTTATTTTCAATGTTCCTTTATTGTTCAACACTGCATGATTCTTAATATTACCAGTTAAACTCAAGTGGCTATATCACTGCCTATAGCCTTACACGGTATATTTAATATATCCACCTCCGGTAACGAAAGACATCCCATACAAATCCCCTAAATATCGTTAGTACATCATTTAAACGCCAGCAGTCATGTATCTATACCCAGACACACTTTCCGAAAAATAAAATAAAAAATAAATAAATAAATAAACGATGTCAAATAATATTTCTAATAAACCATATGAACATACCCGACAGGCTGTGTAATACTGGTACTGGTTGGGTTCACGTTCACCTGGACAGATGTCGCTGACAGTGTGGTAACGTTGGAATCGCTGATGCTGTACGCTATTCTTGTAGAAACAGTGTCACCGCTGTCTGGGTCAACAAACTCTATAGTATACGAGCCTACTTGGTTGACTGTCAGTTGTATAGGCCCGGTTGGGGCCGCTGTGATGTTCGGGCTTCGGTTTTCTGAAATGGCAGCGTATTTTACCATTAAGAACGTTCAGGGTTGCATTTTAGGATGTATTCACTCTTACGTTTTAGATGCACCTGCACACAACAAGTGAAAAGAATGGATGGCAAACCAAGGGTATAGGAAGGGGGACAGGCGATGTGGTATCATTTTACAGCACCGAAATAAGCCGCGTTGGATGTTAATCAAAGGTTGGCTATTAGCGCTTTGAAAAACCGTTCGAATGATTTTATAGATCAAATACTTATTTCATGCCTGCTGACAGTTTCCACCGCGATCGTCAGATGGCACCAAGAATGGCAGACGACAAATCTTTACCTGCTTCTACACTTGTCGCTTTACTGGTCTCGTCAAAGCTCTTCGTGCTGTTGGCCAGTGCTTCGTTGTCCGTGAGCAGGAAGTCATAGAGACACTGAAGGTCGCTTCCACACTTGCTGACCGCTGCCTGGTACTTGGTGTTTCCGTAGATGGACTGGAGGTCCTCAGAATATGTCGGGACGAAGCTGGTGTCGGTGTAGTTCACCGTGGAGTATCCGGACGCATAGTAGAATATGGATTCTGCTTGGGAAATGCGCCCTAGAATGACATATGGTGGTTAAAATTAGAACAACGTTTGGGATTGGTTAAAGAACATTTTATTTTAAAGGTAACGGAATGATGAACACAATATATACTTTATTAGGAAGTACTGGGAGTTGATATTAATGATGACAAAAGTAGCTTTTCAGCAAAGTCGACTTTAAACTGCCATGGAAATAATCTTTGCTTTTCATTTTCAATACTTTTTACCCGATTTACCTAAACCAACAAAGTTTCATGTTTACTCACAGGTTTCCCCAAAATAATTGTAGATGTCACTCTCGGTGGCGTTGCTGGCCAGGATGGTCCCGTTCCTAGCCTCCAGGTCATTGTTCACATTGCCATCGTAGTTGCCCATCAGACCGGTGGTGTTCGACTTGTACTCATCGGGAACGACCACAGCGAACATGAGAAGTCCTACGCCTTTGGTTACATTGACCGTGACGCCTTATGGAAATAATTGTTTGTCCTTTTATTGATGTTTATTCTCATCAGTTGTTTGACTCATCATTTAAATACTAACGATCTTTATGAACAAATAACAACAATATTTCATGTACTACATGTAGCAGCAATGCATGGTTTCCATTAGTTTCCTTTCTAAATAAAAACACAAATAAAGCCATATATTTAAGTTAAACAACCGACATTTTTATTTCTGATTTTGGTAATTGACCAGTGCTTGAATGATATGAATTCATATTATTATTCGTCGAATTCCAACTGAAGCCTATCCAGCCTTACCCGATCCAAAGCTTGCCAGCAGCGTCTTGGTGGTATCATTGTACTCCAGATCGAGGTTGTTGTAGCTGGCACTTCCGGTCTGCAGCAGCGTAGGGGACACGAGGTCACTCTGGACATACACCGCCATGTCTGTAGGGGATATACAACATTGTGATCATAAAGAAGGTAAGTAAATACACATTACTCACATCAATATTCAAAAAGATGTTTCCTTACAAATAAAGCCCAGGCAAACACAGAACGTTTTATAATGTGACCATAACGTTGCGTTAACATATCGTTTTATGGTTATATTAGCGATATGGTTACGTTATGATAAAGTTCTGTGTTTGCTGGATACCCAGTTTAAACACGCCACTCTGGGTTTCAGAGGACACCGGCATACTTATTATATACTTATTACTTATTATAATATATCAGACAGGTGGGCCCCAAGTGTTTTCTGAAACATTAAGATAGAACTGAGATCTATAATATGATGGTTAAACCGTATAATATATTGTCTATTCATTTAATCCTAAAATGGTTAGGAAAAAACTTCAATACAACGCACTACTTTGTCAAATTTATCATTTTTTTTAGATTTTCACGCTGCGTTTTACCTTGTTTATCTTGTGTCAGCTGTACATGCAGGCGGGAGGAGTCACTGTCCTTGGCGGCAAAAGCGCTAAATATGGTTGCATTCACAGTAGTGCCTTGACTCGAGGAAACTGGTTCTAGACGGGTCTTAAAAATAGGAGGTAAAACGGTCAGTTGTAAAAACCTGGCTATATGATCCTGCAAACACGTTTTATCAAACTTTGCCTCTTAACTTGAATCAGTTTCAGTTTTTATATTGATTTAACGATTAGTGTAAGAGAAGGCAGAGATGAAGAATCTGAGCGTTACTAAAACAATGATACGCACCTGCATAATAAAAGCCCCATTGCCCGCGTTGAGGAGCTGGTATTCACCGTGTCCATTGAAGGTATAAGTAACGCCATCTAGTGTCGTGAAATGAGGGTCACCTCGGAACCAAGCTGTGAAGGCAAATAGTAACGTAATGGGTCAATGTTCGAGTCACGCCAGGTCATTAGTGATATTAGAATGCAATGTAAAATTAGTGTACATTGCTAAAATGCAATTTACAGTTTTATAAATGAATTAAGTCGACAATATACAAGCATATGACCTTTGTTTTCTAAAGAAAAAAATGACAATTCATGTCTTTCATATAATACTTAGAACACGTACACCAACGTATAGGCCTGTACGAAGTACATTTATCATTGGGCCTGTACTGGAAGTAGACTCCACAGTTGTCTGACAGAGCACAGCAGTACTGCTTAGGGAGATAGTCGTTCTCAGTATAGGCACGGCTCTGGAACCGCTCATGGTACAACTGGAAGGAGCCGCTGGTGACAGAGTTCTCTGTGGTGATCAGTGACCACGTGCTCAAGTCATAACAACACTCCTGAAATATGTCAATAATTGTTATGTTAAAAGTTCACACGTGCATGTCTGACAGCATTTATCCACTTGACGCGGTATCGATTCCTTTATGCTGCATAGCTGAATGCAGTTTAAAACATTCTAAAATATTTAATTCTAAACTTCCCTGTATAAATGATATTCGACAATACGCAAAAATGCCTTTGCAACATACTCTTTTAAAAACTAATAAGGACTCCGTACCGTACTATGTTTAAATTAAGTAGGCCGTTGGCATTTTTTCAAATACAGACTACACTTACCTGGCCGGACAGATATCCACGGACAAACCTCGGCCAGCGGGTAGTGAAGCACCAGACACCGCTGTAGGCTGTAAGTGCAAAACGCAGATATTGGTATGTGTGCACACAGTTTTCGAAAGGGTACAGCTCTGTGATAACTTTTTTCCGGAAGAATAATCTAAAACCGGCTTGTAATTACCGGCACAGAAGAGCTTTCGTTCCTAAAACAACGTTATTCAAAATAAACAATTAAAAGCCACATAAAAAACAGGCCGATTAATTAATCCGTATCTTAATGTTCAAGCAGTCAAGCAAAAATATAAAAACATACCAGGGTCTGTCCGCGATGCATATCTATATCTCCTATCCAGTAGCGCCCCCGTCAGTGAGCAAGGACACGCCAGGACACGGCTGCTGAGGGAGGACAGCTGAACACCCAGGGCCGCCTCCGTCGTCTTCTGCTGGCTGGCCCAGTCCTTGCAGAGGGAGTCGTAGTTAGGGTAGTCCGAGGACACGGAATGTAGTCTGAACCACCAGACCCCCTGGACACCTGACAGTTCAGAGGGTGATATGAATTGCAAGCACTTGGGTTATTTTAAGAATTCATGTTTTGAGATGCCTTACCTATCCTTAATCTAAACTAGATACCAACTGAATGGATACATTAATTCCATATCAAAATTCTCGTTGGACAGCAAAAAGAAAAAAAAATGTCATGAATTAGCCACAGAGGCATATCTGTGGATAACTAGCTAAATATTAATATGTGGTCCTGATAGTGGGTACCCGTCTTATAAAACTCCTTCCTTTTCAGTGTAAATCTTTAAAATTATGACATACAGGTACTACACTGTACAAATATACTGGGACACCCGAATGAGGCAAAAGTGATAAATGTGGCACGATGACTCACCTGTGTTTCCGACGACGTTATCAGCCGTTGCCATGGCAGCCGTCCCTGATACGTAAGGCTCGAAGTTATAGCCTGCTCCGTCGGTGAACCCCACCCTAGCTGTCTTGAAGATGGAGGACGGAGTTATGGTTATGGCACCAGGCACATAGTTAATGTAGGCGTAGGAGTGGACCCCGTCGGTGATTAGAACGGCTTGGAACGTCACGTTCTAAAGAGAAAACATGTTTTTTTAAACAACAACAACAACAATAATCATCATCACCATAATAAAAATGATAAAGTAATTCAAAATTATGTGAAAGGCATCAGTTAACCATTACATAATTTAAACAGAGAAACGTGTACTACTACTACTTAATTTTCTTAACAGTGTGGTTGGTACCTTGGTCATTAAGGGTGTTAGATGGACATTTCAAGACTATGCATTGATGTTGCTATTTAATTATATAGCCTATACTGCATGCCTTTAATCAAAGACCGAACATCAGTTGAATGAGTCGTTTATGAACTTCTCTTACCTCCACCCCGGCGTACCGGCTGCTGGGGTTGGGAGGGCAGTTCACCCACGTGGCGACCAGCACCCATTTCGCAGAGAACCCATCCGTGCCAGTATAATTCCTTACATCCGCCGTCGCACGGTCTATGGTATATCTGGTATTTAAATTGGTGTTATAGTCGTTGTAATAGTCATACGCCTTATAGTATACAGCAGATGGGTCTCCGATAGCCTCGATGTCGGCCCAGTACGCTGCCACTATGGGCAGTGAAGAGGCGTATGTTGAGGTCAGCGGGAATGACTTCGGCGTGTAGCTTAGGTATGCGCCATCGAAGGAAATCAGACCGTTGGTGCTCACCTGAAATGTTCAAATTCATTTATATCACTGGACTATATACTTGACTGGAAACGTACTGTAGGAACACCACAATTTTTATCACTGGGCAATATGCATAATACGATACATTATAGACATTATATAACATAATGTCACTATCATGCATATAGTGCAAACTCTTTGGAGAAAGAGATCACACGCAGACACTGGTATTTTAAACCGCCCCTTCCCTTTGTAGCACAGTAATACTTCAAACGCATTTTAGTAAATGTCATAAAGTTTGAACGTTGAATGTCTGTCAAAAAGGAAGAACCCAGTATTATACTTACATAGGCATATTTGTGGGAGTTCTGCCCCATTATGAAGCCAGTTGTTGCAGTTATGCGCCCGGAAGTTACGTCATCTCCAGTGATGGTAGCATCTCCTGTTGCCGCACCATAGTTATAGGTCAGAGAGGAGCGATCAACTGGAAGACGGGAGAATGTCGGTTTAGTACTAGATAACAAGTCAAGTGTACCTTGTCAGACTACTGTAATTAATATTAATATTAATATCAATTATGAATTACGTCTGTATTGACTGCTGTATTGACCCAATAGTAATAAAGATACTGCACTTTACAATTATCCACTTGAATAAATGTGGAGAAATGCAATGTGCACGTGTGTCAAATTTAACAGCAATTCGCTTGGAGTACTCACCACCAGCGCAGGTGTTGCCCACATAACCACTGGCACAGTTGCAGCTGAATCCCTGCTGGAGACTCTGGCATGTCCCTCCATTTTGGCATGGTGAGCCGGCGCAGTAGTCCACGGGAGTAGTGGTTTCTATACTGCTGGTGGCTATAGCAGTGGAAGAAGCCACGTCCGTTGTTGCAAAGGCAGTTGAACTTGCCGAGGTAACTGCGACAGGGTCAGTGACCGACGTTGACGTGACCTGATCTGTTGCTGAGGGTTGTGTAACAGTATCGGTAGACGAAGCAGCTTCGGCAACAGACGACGTTGAGATCGTCGATGTGTCTTGAGCTGACGAAGAGGCTGCAACAGATTCAGTGGACGAAGCAGATACGGCAACAGACGATGTTGAGGACGCCGATGTGTCTTGAGCTGACGATGAGGCTGCCACAGAATCAGTGGACGAAGCAGATACGGCAACAGACGATGTTGAGGACGCCGATGTGTCTTGAGCTGACGATGAGGCNAGTGGACGAGGCAACTTCGGAAACAGATGATGTTGAGGACGCCGATGTGTCTTGAGTTGACGAAGAGACTGCTACAGAATCAGTCGAGGAAGCAACCACGGCAACAGACGATGATGAGGACGCCGATGTGTCTTGAGCTGACGAAGATGCTGCCACAGAATCAGTCGAAGAAGCAACTTCGGAAACAGACGATGCTGAGATCGTCGATGAGTCTTGAGCTGACGACGAGGCTGCAACAGAATCAGTGGACGAAGCAGATACGGCAACAGACGATGTTGAGGACGCCGATGTGTCTTGAGGTAACGTAGAGGCTGCCACAGAATCAGTGGACGAAGCAACCACGGCAACAGACGATGATGAGGACGACGATGTGTCTTGAGTTGACGAAGAGGCTGCCACAGAATCAGTGGACGAAGCAACCACGGCAACTGACGATGATGAGGACGCCGACGTGTCTTCAGCTGACGAAGAGGCTGCCACAGAATCAGTCGAGGAAACAACTACGGCAATAGACGATGTTGAGGACGCTAATGTGCCTTGTGTTGACGAAGACACTACTACAGAATCAGTCGAGGAAGCAACTTCGCCAACAGACGATGTTGAGGTCGGCAACGTGTCTTGAGCTGACGAAGAGGCTGCCACAGAATCAGTCGATGAAGCAACTTCGGAAACAGTCGATGATGAGGACGACGATGTGTCTTGAGTTGACGAAGAGGCTGCCACAGAATCAGTCGAAGAAGCAACTTCGGAAACAGTCGATGATGAGGTCGCCGATGTGTCTTGAGCTGACGAAGAGACTGCCACAGAATCAGTGGACGAAGCAACCACGGCAACAGACGATGATGAGGACGCCGATGTGTCTTGAGCTGACGAAGAGGCTGCCCCAGAATCAGTGGACGAAGCAGTGGACGAGGCAGACGGCGCCGCGCTAGCTTGGTCTGTCGCAGATTGTGCTGCAGAGGGGCTGAATGAGCCAGTTCCACCTATTGACGAACTTGCTAATGATACAGTGGACACATCTGGAATCTGAAATATAGATAATATTATTATGATTGTTTAATAGAACGCTGTTGATCATGACTCGCCATTAAACGTCAGTATTATTGATAATGTTCACTCTTTACTAGTTTGAAGTGTTAGAGGATTTGTTTTATAAGAAAGTGAACAAGCACCTCCACCAGTAGACATGCTAAATATTAATATAGTCGACTGGGCGAAAAGTTTTCGATGTTAATATTGTTTTAGATAGACGAAATGAAACTATGTCACCAACAGGTGAACCTGATGAAACCATTATGAATACCTCTGCAATAGGATACCTCTGGAATGTGATTGTAATCAGAGCAGTTTCGAAAAAAAAGGAAGATAGGAAACTCTTCAACAGATTTACTTTCTGATGTTAAAATTGAGTTCACTGTTACCTGATCTGTTGATGACGTTAGTATCGCTGACGTTACGCTAGCAGGAGATTCACTTGAAGTGAAACTTGATGAAATGGATGTCGTTGTAACTACCTGATCCGTGGATGACGTTAGTATGGTTGAACTTAGGCTTGTAGAAGGAGATTCACTTGTAAGCAAGCTAGAGTATACGGATGTCGTTTCAACTACCTGTTCCGTTGATGACGTTAGTAGCGTTGAAGTTACGCCAGCAGAAGGAGATTCACTTGAAACAAAACTCGATGATATGGATATCGTTGCAACTACCTGATCCGTCAATGACGTTGGTATGGTTGAACTTAGACTTGTAGAAGGAGATTCACTTGGCACAAAACTTGATGATATTGATGTCGTTACAACTTCTTGACCCGTTGGTGAGGTAAGTATAGTTGAAGTAACACTAGCAGGAGATTCACTTGGCACGAAACTTGATAAGTATGACGTTACAATTTCCTGATCCGTTGCTGACGTTAGCACAGTTGAATTTACACTAGTGGAAGGAGATTCACTTGTAAGTAAGCTAGAGTATATGGATGCTGTTTCAACTATCTGATCCGTCGATGACGATAGCAGAGTTGACGTTACCCCAACAGAATGAGATTCACTTGTAAGCAAGCTAGAGTATATGGATGTCGTTTCAACTGCCTGATCCGTTGATGACGTTAGTATCTTTGATGTTACGCTACTAGAAGGGGATTCACTTGTAAGCAAGCTTGATGATATGGATGGCGTTTCATGTACTTGACCCGTTGATGACGTTAGTGCAGCTGAATTTACGCTAGTGGAAGGAGATGCACTTGTAACAAAACTTGGTGTTATGGATGCTGTTTCAACTACCAGATCCGTCAATGACGTTAGTATTGTTGAACTTAAGCTTGTAGAAGGAGATTCACTTGTAAGCAAGCTAGAGTATATGGATGTCGCTTCAACTGCCTGATCCGTTGATAACGTTAGTAGCGTTGACGTAACGCTAGAGGAAGGAGATTCGCCAGTTACGAAACTTGATGATATGGATATCGTTACAACTTCCTGATCCGTTGATGTGGCTATTATAGTTGAAGTTACGCTAGCAGGAGATTCACTTATAAGCAAGCTAGATGATACGGATGCCGTTTCAACTACCTGATCCGTTGCTGACGTTAGTACAGTACTAGTGGAAGGAGATTCACTTGTAAGCAAGCTTGATGACGTTAGTATCGTTGAAGTTACGCTTGAGGAAGGATATGCACTTGTAACAAAAATTGGTGTTATGGATGCTGTTTCAACTACCTGATCAGTTGATGACGTTAGTATCGTTGACGCAATGCTAGAGGAAGGAGGTTCACTTGTAAGCAAGCTTGATGATATGGATGACGTTTCGTCTACTTGACCTGTTGATGACTTAAGTATCGTTGACGTAATGCTAGAGGAAGGAGGTTCACTTGTAAGCAAGCTTGATGATATGGATGATGTTTCATTTACCTGACCTGTTGATGACGTTAGTACAGTTGAATTTACGGTAGAGGAAGGAGATGCACTTGTAACAAAACTTGGTGTTAAGGATGCTGTTTCAACTACCTGATCCGTTGATGACGCTAGCATAGTTGAAGTTACGCTAGCAGAAAGTGATTCACTTGTAACGAAACTCGATGGTATGGATGACGTTTCAACTACCTGATCCGTAGGTGACGTTAGTATCGGAGATGTTACACTAGTGAAAGGAGATTCACTTGTAACAAAACTCAATATGGACGTCGTTTCAACTTCCTGGTCCGTTGGTGAAGTTATTATCGTTAATGGTACATTAGAGGAAGAAGATTCATTTGAAACGAAACTTGATATGGATGACGTTTCAACTAACCGATCTGTTGAAGTAGCGGATTCCGTCGTGGCTGTTGTTAACACTAGAGATATTTCAGAGGAACTTGAGGACACTAACTCGGACAAACTGGTCGAGGATGCACTAGATTCTACACTACCTGTCACCGTATATAGTAATGGAACAGACATGCTTGTTGACTCTGCTACACTTACTGCTGAACTTACCGATGAAGTAAAGGATGTCACAGTGACTGGTCCTGTTGCTGAGGTTAGTATTGTTTCAGAAGCACTTGAAGCAGCCGATGTTACAACTGACGTACTCACTGTTGTTTCACTAACATGCACTGACTCTGCTATTGATGCTTTTACCGTTCCCGAAACACTAGATACACTAAGCGTGCTAAGCATTGAAGCAGTCAACGTTTGAGTTGACTCCAACAAAACTTGTTCTGTGGGTGAAGTTAGTAAAGCTTCTGACGATAAAACAGATGAACTTGTTGAAAGTATTGTCGTTGAATATATAGTCTGATCTGTTACTGATGTTAGCAGTGTGTCCAAAGCACTAGACGCTACAGCGGTACTTGTTGATGAGTCTACAATTATGGGTGTTTCTGTTACCTGAACTGTAGAGGGCGCCAGAGAGGACAGGCCTGTGGAGACCACTCCAGCTGTTGGAGATGCACTTTGTGAAGTCGATATCCCTGCGGACAAACTTGCTGCAAGATCTGTGGACGACACAGTGACTTGGCTGATAGATGTCGCCACTGTTGCTACAGAGATGCTGGACAAAACTGCCGCGCTGGAAGACGAGGATGCTGTACTCTGATCGGCAGAACTTCCTGTTGTTGATGCAGATATTGTAGAGGTTGGTGTTACCAGACCTGAGGATGTCGTGGAGGTATCCGAAACACTTGAAGAAGCAATGACCCTAAGAGATGAACTGGTGGAAACTGATAGGGCAGTCGAAACCACTTGCCCAGTTGATAATGTCGGTACTGGTTCAGAAACGCTGCTCGAAGCCGTTGAGCTTTGAACTGAACTAGATGAGGTTATAACCTGGACTCCGCATAAGCTACCGGTGTACCCATCTGGGCATACACAGGCGTAGGAACCGATGGTATTGGTACAGTTGCCACCGTTACTACATGGGTTGGTGCCATTACACTCATCGACGTCTTCGCAGTAAGTCCCATTCCCCGTGAATCCGCCGTCACAGGTGCAGGTAAATCTTCCCGGGAAGTTGGCACAGGTGGCATACTGGTGGCACGAGTTGTTATAATTTACATCAACACATTCGTCAATGTCTGCGCAGCCTGTACCATTGATGTAATATCCGGTTCTGCACGAGCATTCGTATCCACCAATGGTGTTATTACACGTCGACCCTTCTCCTGTGCCACATATAGTAAGATTTCTGCACTCGTTCACGTCTGAGCAGAAGACTCCGTTACCGGTGAAGCCAGCGTTACAAGAGCAGCTATAATTGCCTGAAAAGGTAGAAACATAGAGCTAAGGTACACCATCGATACAGTTTGACATTTTAACATTAATTAAACAGAAATAAAAACACATAGTTTAACTTTACAATATATATTTACATGTCCATTGACAGATACAGTAGAAAAAATATGTCAGTAATAATGTAACCATATAACCACGTATATACAAATTACGTCAAGCAGGAGTTCCTTAATTCCTGACAGATATACTTATTACTACTACAATGATTTAAATGGATCCATAGAAGTACACAAGTTAAAAAATTAAGGCCCAGATCTAGTAAAACCTGCGGCCAAAACAGGCCTTCGTCTGCAAAATGTTAGATCAAAATTAAGTCTGCAACCAATAGACATCCTTGGCTGTGTCGAAGAGAAAAGCGCTCGGAAGAAAGGTAAAATCCCTACCTGGCAAATTGTTACACGTGGCATACTGGTGGCAGCTGTGTGTTCCCTGGGCACACTCGTCTACATCCTGACACACACCGGCCACTCTGTTGTAGCCGGACAGACAGGAACAGAAGAAACTGCCCACCTACAATATACAGATGTAACGAGAATGGTGTAATCAATTTGATGTCACAATAGAGAACATTGTGGGAATTTCTTGGCTAACAGTAAATCATATTTGTTTGTAAATGAATTATACGACAAATGAACAATTTTCTGACATAATGTATCTGAAAATGCTTATAAATGTTGACGATTTCAAACTAATGCAATTCATGTACAAATGGTAGGCATAAATTAAGATTAAAGAATTAAGAAATGAATGAATGAAGACTTAAGAAAAAAGAATATCACAAAGGAGATATTCCTTCTGAAAACAGCTATTTCTGTGTTTTAAAAAACGGCCAATATTTGTTCCTCATCAAAGTGGACAGCACAGATGAACATAAGATAATGACAGCTAAAATTGTTTGAAAAGATTCATTTGGATTTTTTCCTTTAAAGATTTTTAGTTTTAATCTTTTATAGAAGATGATGCCTTTACCGTATTTTCACACGTCTCCCCATTCCCCTGACACACTGTCCCCGCCAGGCACTCGTTGCTGTCCTCACAGTAAGTGCCATTGCCGACATAACCCGGGGTGCAGGAACACACAAAGCTGCCAACAGTGTTATTACACGTTGCCGTGGGGCTGCAGGGAGGGCTCTCGGAGTCGTTACACTCGTCAAAGTCTGGATAGGAGACAAAATGGGATTTAATACGCTTCGTCACGTAAGTGACTTTGAGGCGGCATAAAAAAGAGTGCCAGCCGGGGTAGTATTGACATAGACGAAAAGTGAAAACCGTTGACAAACCCTTTTGTCGCATGCCGCAAGTGGCAATGTAAAGCCTTTCACTGAGGCAAACAACATATAGTTGCTGCTGCTGCAACTTCATGGTATATAAATAATCATTCTTTTTTACGTGTCGAAATACACTGTACCGTATGGAGCATTGCGTTTTAATAAGAATGTTATTCACAATTACCAAAAATCAACGTAAAACATGCCACCTCTTACCAACACAGTATCCGGGGACATTAGGATCGGATCCTTGCACCTTTGAGTACCCATCACCACACAGACAGATATAACTGCCGTTGGTATTGGTACAATTGGCGCCACTCCCACAGTTAGCCGTGCCCAGCGCGCACTCGTCTACGTCCGTCCTGCATTGGTCGCCAGTCCAGCCGTCCGTACAGTTGGTACAGCCCACTACGTTGTCACATACAGAGGCCCGGCTGCCACAGTCGCACGTGAACGAACACTTGTCGCCGTACTTGGGTAGGGCACACTCTGAAAGGTTAGTATACATGATAGAAGTCATACATGGTGTACTTTGTGGGCTATATCGGGTAGTTGGTCTAGGCGTCTTTTTATATCATCACTGTTTTTCACATACCTGATTTATTAATTACTAATATGGTTTACAAATACTTTCCTCCGTCCACAGCTATATTCTTTGTTCTTTGCTGTCTTTTTATTCATACTATCCTACCCAAAATATTACCTTTTTCAGAAAATATAGTCGTACATAAATGTATCTAAGTGATCATTGCTTGGGACTTATTTAAATAGGGCTATTTAAATATCATTTAAAACATGGAACAAAAACATGTGCCCTTACCTTGACACGTTCTCTTATCAGAACCGAGGGTGAATCCGCTAGGACAGGAACATGTGTAGCCTCCGTCTGTGTTGTTACACGTGTGACTGCAGGTGTCCGTGTTCAGGGCACACTCGTCGATATCTGGGAATATGATGATCAGTATTCGCAAACAATTACGGTGGCAATAATGGCTCTGGTAAATTATCATATATCATTTTTTTTTTAATTTCAAACTGTACAACTAAACTCAATCAGCTTACAAAAAGTAAGTACATTAATCACTGGTAAACAAATACTAGTACGTAATATATATGTCTTTGAATCTCATAATTACGTGCATTTTTGGTATCGAATTCTATCCAGCAAGCACAGAACGTTATTATAACCTTACCATAACGTTAACATGACCAAAAAACGTTATGGTAACGATATGGTAACGTTAAAAAAATGTTTTATGGTTTGCTGGGTGTATATGAAGTGTACGTACCGTCACATGTGCTGTTGTCAGCTGGGGAGATCGTGTAACCTTGGGGACACGCGCACCCCGGCTGTCCGTTCCCGATATCAGCCGAGCAGATCTCGGAGCAGTTCAGACTATACCTGGCACAAGTGTTGTTTGCTGTAAAATGTAAGATAATATTCCCACATGATTACATCTAATAGCAATATTTGTTCCATGTGTAACGCCTGTAAGTGATTTTTACTGAACAAATTGAAAATTTTCCTGACTGAGGTTTTCAAAAGATAAAATGGGTGCTGTAACACGAAATGATCCAATATGTCTTATTTTTCGATTCTGAATACACGCTAAGATGAGCATTTAGACTGGAAAAGCTATCAGCTCAAATTTGCAACTTTGGTTGCGCATTATATGCTAATTAATCCTTAAATTAAAGTTGTATGTATTTTCCATTAATGTTAAAATGTATTTAAATTTTAGAAAATTCGTGAGTACCATTTCCACTATCAAACACTACATGCAATTCTATGTACTCATGCAGTCAAACGAAAACCTGTCCTTACCATCAAAGCAGGTGATTCCGTCAGGCCGCAGTTCATAGCCTTCAATACAAGAGCAGGTAAAACTGCCAGGTACATTAGTACACACCTGTGTACAGTTATCTGTCTGCTCTGTACACTCGTTAATGTCTGAAAGGGAAAATAGCAAGTAACTGTAGGGTATTATATCTCTATAAATATTTAAACAGTTATCAGATATTTTAAAAAAATATCAAACACAATATATATGAAGTGCACTTGTTACATACTTGAAGGATGAAGAGCGTGCAATTATAATGTTTCATTCAAGGAATTCACCCAGAAGGTTCTGTATATTTCGTTCTCATGCCGTACTCACCCGCACAGTCGTATGTGCCGTTCTTCACGTAGCCGTCATAGCAATCACATATGTAGGAACCCATATTGTTGATACAAATACTGGTGCAGAGGTTGCTGGTCGTGTTACTAGTACATTCGTCGACGTCTGAAATAGTATATTTATTACACAAATGTGTTATTATCTATTTATTTTTGTATCTATTAGTTGAAGTTCTTGTCGATGTTTTAGTAATACAATACCTCAATTTTCCATATGAAACTAGTACAATAAAATATTTGTGTCACATAATTGATCCATATTTTGATATTTAATCTGAAACAACCAGGAAGAACGCCAAACCACACCTTAACCACGCCCCTTGGTTATACTTACCCACACATTTGTTTTCCTCGGTGTCCAGCTCGTACCCGGTGGGGCAGGCCGTGCAGTTGAAGGCTGGGTATCCCAGTGCCTCCAGATCTGCCGGCACGTCCGTACAGTTGGAGCCCTGGGGGCATGGGTTCTGGTCGCAGCCGTCCGTGTCCGTCTCACAATTGTCGCCTGCAATGTGGATACATTATATAGATACCAGTAATATTCGTGTGGATTGATAAAAACCAACCCAAAATGGTTTTTAGATAACAATTAAGATGGAATGGATAAATGATGGATAATTTAAAACGATTATTGTGGTCTAGGCACAACTAGATACTGGAGTATTTGAACATTTTGACTGCGCAATAAACAGAGACTTACATATGTGGCCGTTCTCTTAAGCATTTCCTTCTTCCAAGGAAGATACACGATATATCCTTTATATATTAAGCGTATGCTGTCTGGAGAAAAATCAAATGTAATTCGTACCTGACCACCCTGTGGAACAGTTGCAAGCCACCTGGTAGAAGTCTGTGTTGTTCACTACGGTCACGGAGTCAAACAGGCATATCCCGTTGCCAGAGCACCCGGTGCAGTACCGGATCTCCAGGGTGAGTTCTGTAACTCCACCGCGACCGTCATTCGCTACGAATCTAAATACAGGGAACACACTAGGGATTACGAAAGCAATTAAATTGATTTTGTACATGTAAATTGCACCGCTGCAAAGAAAAACAATTTGGGATTTTAGAAGCAAAAAAAAAAAAAAAAAAAAAAAAATCTAACAAACAATAACGATAATACAATTTTACAGTATTCCGATATTATACATACCCTAATGAAGCGATATCCAGACCTTGGGGTGGCGTCCAGAACACGTAATTAGTGGCGTTGTCAAATGCGGCGCCAGATGGCAGCGACGATGAAGACGAGACTGATACGTTGTCTCCGTCAGGGTCGGTAGGGGAGAGAGCTAGAGATATGAGCTCTCCCGCCGTAATACGCAGGACGGTTGCATTGGCGCTTAATGTTGGCGCTTGATTTTCTTTAAAAGAATAAGAAAGACAGTTAAAAACAGAACGTAATCAGAGACTGAGAGATGTCAATTTAGGTTAAACAAACCCTGGCGGAATAGGAAGGTTGGTACATTTTGTGTATACTTTAATAAACTAAACAATACGTAATTTGATTCCTGAAAACAGTAGAAAGTATTTTTGCAAACTATATCTGCCCAAACAACATCTCTTATAAACCATGTGGACTTCAAAATGAGCGTGGCTTCGTAACTAACTGTGATTATACATCAAATCAAATTTCAAAATGAACTCACGTTGTTCAGCTGACGTGGCGACATTCGTCTCCTCGGCGACTCTGGATTCTGAGGCCAGTGCGTCGTTTCTCGTCAACACGTAGTCATAGACACAGTTCTTATTGTTATTACACTTTGTAGTGTACACCTCATTCCGTTCCGTCTCATTGCTCCAAGTAATGTCTTCAAAGAACAGTGGCTCGAAAGAGTTGTCCGTGTAGTTAGTTGTGGACAGGCCCTGGCCATAGTACAGGATAGAATCATTTTGTGAAATTTGCCCTAGAAGAAAATGATTTTATTCATTTATTCATTCATATATATATTTTTTTTTGCTAAAACCAAGACAAATTTCAAATTTTAATCAGAGCCGAGAGACGTTTATCTGAATTCCTATTCAGCTTAAATGTATCGCACAAGGCATATTCAATACAGGACTAGTAAATCGCCTCCTTTCAGACATAATTTCTACTGAAACTCATTACGCTCAGTTTAAAACGACTCCTTACTTTATTCACCAAATTTAACTAAGATTTTATTAAAACTCGACATACACAGCTGCCCAAAGTTGTAGAAGATCTCCCTCTGTGTGCTGTTGATACTGATTTGACTACCATCAGGCGTAGTGAAGTCATCGTCGGGGACATCGTTATAAATTCCTAGCAGACCGCGGGTTAGATTCTTGGCCTCTCCCGGCGCCGTGACGACAAAGTTCAGAACACCACCGGTCTTCAAGGCAAACTCTACCGTCCAACCTGGAAAAGGACACCATCGAATGTAACGAGGGTGAATTTTCGGTGGTAAATATATATGGTTAAACTGGTGCATATTATTCCCCAACTGTACTTTTAAGCAATGATAGTTATATGGTAGTAAGCTTTGGATCAATGGCCGTATTACTTAAATCGCACACTTTGGATCAATGGCCGTATTACTTAAATCGCGTCTCACGTCTGAAATGTACATGTAGTAGGCTGATAGATGGATACTTTCAAATGAACGTAACTAACTTAGTGTTTACCACTTTTATTCTATTTCAATAAACACAGAGTCCCATTTGCCAGTAGCCATAGAAAAGAATACGAGATTTACCAGACTATTTCGTCTGTTGACAGTCAGACTTAGTCGGGGAAATTAGGACTGTAATAAGATATTGCCAGTCCACTGAGTGTGCGTTAGAGAAGGCTACTACTTGTTACATGTATTCTATATTACAAAAATTGTACAGTAAATCCATTCGAAAGCATGAACAGAAACAAACGCTCACCTGATACAGGGAATGTTGCAGTGACAGTGGCGATCGTGGAATTATAGGTCAAGGCCATATTAGTGAGGGCACCACTTGTCAGAGACCCCCCGCTGAGGAGAGGAGAACCGTCCTCCCATTCTTGAGTTTGGTTCCTGTATATCCACAGCGCTAGTTCTAGGAGTAGATTTACGGCATATATTGACAAATAAATAATTCGCCAATTGTGACATTTCTTGGTGTGAAAACTACGATATTCATCCTGGTACAGTATAATTACACTTCAAAAGTGACAACACAGCTAAAACATAGGCCGAAATAATGGCCATAATCAGTATTTTGGCAAGTCTTTACTCCTTCACAAAGCGAAATAATATAACGAGCATCAGAAATATAACAATATCAAATCACCAATAACACTAAATGCGCAAAAATAATATATTAATTAAAAAGATGAAAATAAGAAAGAAAATACACTAATGCAAATAAGAATCTGCCATCTATACTATACCTGTATTGTTATTTATGAGTTCCACATGCACACCGTCTGAGTTCGTTTCATCGCGTGCGGCAAAGGCAGAAAACACTGTTGCATTCACAGGGGATCCATCTTTGTCTATTGCCCTCGCTGTACGTCCTTGGAACAGGAAATTGGTAGTCTGGTTATTCTCCAAGTATTTCACCATCCAGTACTCTCCATGGCCGTTAAACGAATAGCCGAACCCGTCAATAGTGGAAAAATGAGGGTCGCCGAACGACCAACCTGTTTGATACAGCAATAGTAGAAGAGCAATGAAGAGAAAACACGTAGAAATAAAGAAACTTAAAGGTACATACGAACCGAGCATCAGTGGAGCGTGGATTCCCAGTAACACATGTAAACAACTTCTACTAGATTCTTTTATGACTCCAATAAATTCGACATGCCAAGGGATAAACTGAATAGATCACTCGATCAGCCATAAAAGACCTTTAGACTGCTCCTTTCTTTAAATTTTTGGTTGTAAATTTAACCTACTTTCGTGACCTACTTTCCTGTCCCATTGACATACAGCTTAGAATGCCAGCAGAAAAATCTGTTCAAACATCATTTTCGGGTAAAATTAAACAATGCCTTTTGGTAATTCTCTTAGTTATACTACTTGAAACTATATGCTGGCATTTGGTTGGTTTTTGTGACAAAAAATTGACTTTGTATGCATCTTTAAATGTAAACTTCGGCATAGTAGTAATAATAATAATAATAATAATAATAATAAACCTACCAAACCAAGGTGGTATATAACGAGAGCATGTATCCACAGGTCTGAAGGATTTGTACAGAGGACAAAGACCCTCGTAATCCTCGGCCTCCTGGCAGCACCATCGCTTAGGCTGAGTATCTTGTAAGTTACGAGTCATCCCAAAGTAGTAGTAAGACCAAAACCAGCTGTCGTCAGAGTAATACAGGATCAGGGTATTGGCACTGGGCCCGGTGGTGATTAGGGACCCCAGATTGCTGTCGTAACAACACTCCTAAAATTCACAAAGGTTACCAGTATTCGTTCATGAAATTACCATTTGCGCCGTCACTGGGCCCTTCTTAAAAACATCAAGCGGTAAACATTAGTGGTCCATAATCAACGACACATGTCTTAAATGGTCGTACATGCCATAGGCGGTTATTACTTGCCATGAAAAGTGGCAATTATATCTGTTTACACAAAGTCTACACGACTCACCCTCCCTGACCCGAAGTACCAACTTCCTCCGGTGGGATACGCGCAGTACGACGTCCAGTCCATGTACCAATTCCAATCCCACACAACCTGGCTGACCGAACAGGGACATGGACGAGTTAAAATATTGGCGTAGTAATAGAAATAGGAGGTCCATTGATACCAGTAGTTGTTCCTCTGGGCGTCAACCCACTGCAGGCATTTCTCGTCGTAGTTGACGGAATCGTCATCCGTGGTGTCCAGACGGGCGACCCACTTGCCAACAATACCTGGAAAATGTACAAATGTAAAATGTATTATACCTCTTGAAAGATCTGCCCACATTAGCAATTGCAAATAAGCTCTGATATGTGATTCGGATACCAAGCTAAGCGTGCTTTTAAGTTCAAAAAGCATAAACAACTGAATAGATACATTTGGCGATAGATTAAAAAAAGTCGCTAAAAAAAAAAGAAAGAAAAAAAGAAAAAGAAAGAAAAGAAAAGAAAAAAAAAGAAAAAAAAAGAAATTACATAAAAAGCAGATGTACAAAGGCGTTCGTAGTTCGAACAGT